AGCTTGATCGGTCGACACACGGGGAGAGGCTGGAAAATTGCAGGGGCCCTTTAGCTTTCGCGGAATTCAGCTGCGCTTGCGATCTGTTCGCCAGTGTTTTACTTGCTGTGTGCGTTGGCCAGTGTCTGATGTCAAAACCACAGCTTTTCAAGCTTACAATTACATATAGTTGTAGGTGTAGTTGGGCTCACGTATTCTTAGGGTAAGGTAATGGGAACCCCGGAGAGCCGCTACACACTGGCCACGACATGATCCAGCGTGACTCATATGGGCCCTTGCAATCCACGCCTGCGATCTGGCTCATCTGTCCCCCTTTTAGGGCTCCCTGCCAAGGGAAAAAGTGGACCAACGGGTCGTATTCAGTGTATTCGCTTGGGACTCGGCAAAGGGAGCCAAGGGACAGGTGCTTGCTTGGGATATGGTGAAGGCATGTTCCAAATGATTGAAGTTCATTTTGGCCCCGCCAAAGCTGGATAACTGCTGTGAACCTGAAAAAAGTACCCTAGGTCTCCCAAAGCTGGCGCCAAAGGCCTGAGCGCCTGACGTGTCGGCTGTCACTTGCACTCCTCGCTCAACGACTGCCTTGGCAACTTCTGAGCTGATGCTACCGGGACAGCAACAAAGGCTTGTCTTCGGAGGGCCCTGTCTCGTAAGCTTTTTGTAAGAGCCTTACAATGGTGTCCAAAGATTGGGGAGCGAGCACTTGCCGGGGGGAGACCTGAAAATTCCACAAACGCGAATGTCACCGGAAGCTATTTGAAGCCCACAAAAAGCGTAATTACCCTCAAAAAGCACATCCTTTTCGCATGGCCCGGAGCCTTTTGCTGTCCGAGTGACGTTTGGGCGTCAAACCGAGCCGCTGCGTTGCTTCCTGCCAAGCTCACCAGCCGCTGAGCTGACTTGCCCACAAGCCGGTGGAATATTTGCCTGTGTGGGACCTGGACAGGAAATGAGGCTCTTCATTAATGGTATAAGTCAAAAGGTCGGCGTTGGACAAGATCTTAACACCTTGATTTGGTGGTTGCTGCGAGCAAATTGGGCAAATGTTCATTGACCTTCCAGCATCCACTCGCCGAAGACAAGCGCTTTTTGGCCCACGCGTCTTGGTTTTTATCCTGATGAACAGCTGTCCGTCTTCTGGGGTCAGTATTGCTTTCTGTGCGGGTTCCCAAAATTACGTCTGCCTGGATGGTCACTTTCCTGAACTGGCGTTGGCGCAATGATTTTATCTCAAAGCAACCCAGGGAACTGCTACTCCCAATGAATGCCAATGATCCCCCAACATGATCGCAGGAGAGTTGCGCCCAATGGCCTCATTCTTTCAGATCAAACAATCCAGGAGACCCCGCATCAACCAGTCTGATATCAAAAACGGCCCACCCCAAACTGCTGCCCAAAGAAGAATATCGCAACCCGATATCCACCACACAAGGGGTAGTCTTTTGGTATTGTCCTAGTTCGCATTGGGGGTGGCGCAAGGTTCTCCGTTGACATGCCTTCTTAGTGCCAAGTCAGGGCTGGTCTGCACTATAGCACGCTATAGCAAAATAAATGAGAACCTTTGTGTGCAAACAAATCCGTTGTTCTGAACAAAGTGCAGGCATCCCCTTGTCATTGAAACGGGTTTCTGCTGTTCTAGTGAAGGTCCTTGCAAACGAAACAAGCACCAGGAAATCATGCGAAGGAAATGAATTTCCAATAGAGCTCGTATAATCATGACTAAGCTTGGTTTTGTTTGTGCCTTTCCACTTGCTCTCGAGGCAGCCTGCTCGACGAGGAGCGACACCTTGTGGTCCAGCCGCTTGAGTTCCTCGGGCGGGGAAGCCTCTAGCAAACCAGTTGCCATCTTTTGCCGATCAGTTGGGAAGCCTGTGAATAGGAAAAGTACTGAACACATAGGTCAGGAAAGTGACCCACCCCGGAAATGTTGCTTCCAACAAGCAAAGTGGAACCACAAATGAAGTGCAAGGGGCCAACATTCCCCTGGGTTCAATTCAACCATCGTTATCTGCTCATGTGCTGCTCAAGGTCACCAATTGTGCCGGCCCGCTTGTGCGCAAATGGTGTTGGGTGCAACAATGGAAATGGCTTGTCTACATGATTATGGTTGATGGTCAGTCCGGCTATCCAATTTGCAAGCGATTGACACCGCATCGAAACACAACAAAACGACGGGGGTGAGTCCGAGCACATGCTCCCGGTGACCGACGCCTCGCATCCAATCTGCTCTCACGTGGATGCTGCCTTGCGGGAATAATCCTGAAACCTGTCGCCGAGCCCTGGACAAACATCGAATTTGTCTGGCAAGGTCTTCCTTGTGGTGCAACACCGAAAGAGCCACGGCCACGCAGTGACCTAATCCTCAAATTCGCCCCGAGGGGGAGGAGGGGGCCCCCACCCAGCTGAATTTCCAGCCACAAAGGGCAATTTCATTCTCAAGGAAGCCTCAGGGTAACCCTCCCCTCGGTTAAAAGACACGGTGGACCAACTTGTATACGCGTTACATAAGTTCCCGACCACTTCAAGGTTCGAAGGACCCTGCTTCTAAATTCCTCATGACTTTGCCAAAACTGAGCACGCCCCGCGGTAGCTTGCTCGCATCCGAGCAATCCTCGGGACAAGCCGCAACACCACGTGCCCCATGTACCTTCCTTAATGGCAGTACCAAACAAAGGCGAGCATCGAGAACTCGAGGGCTCTCCAGTCTGGTTTTCGGTGTGCAAATCAAACAGGCCCAGCCCGACCCCGCCCTTAGACCCGAGACGCTGTGAGCAAAGGGCCGGAGCTGCCCAAGCGCAGCGCTCGCAAGAGCTCGGAGGACTCAAGCTCCGCCTCCTCGATCCAAGTGCGTTCGCAGATCGTCTTCTGCAAGAAGTTGGAAATTGCGGCTTTTTCAGGATCTTCTAAACGCTGTGGCAAACCATGCAAATCCCATCCTCATCCTGCGACAGGATGCCAGTTAAATAGTACATGGACCTTTCAACATGTAACAAGAGTGGTGTTGGGTCGCATTTGCTTCACATTTCTTTGCGGGTCACAGACCGCTCAAACACGAGCAACAAGCAGGCAAATCATCCAACTACACCGCCGCCGCGTGCTCGCCCCCGACCATTACGACATTACTTGGCTCTGTTTGGCCTAATCTTGCCCGTACGGCTTAAGCCTTTCAAACCCTTGACCGGGGTCTTTGGTGTGTGTGTGTGTAGTGTCCCGTGCGATGTCCTCACCCGCCAGGAGCTGAAAAAGCACCTCGCCGTCGAATTGGGGGGGGGGGGGAAGGGGCGTGGGGTTGCCATTTGTCCGATTTCAAAACAAGGGGACCTAGTGGCACTGGACAAAATTCAAGCCATCATTTGCCTCCTGGGCCTCCCTTTCCATCCAAAAATGGCAATCAGCACCTTTGGTTCAACATCCAGCGACGCAAAGGGGATGTCAAAATGGATGGCTCACGCTTACCGAGTCCCTCATCCAGTTAGATCTGAACTGCGGCTTCCCACCAACAGCGAGTTTGCGTATTGCCGCATTCCAATTGGATAACCAGAAGGAAGCTGCAAGCGACGGAGTGGTGAAGGTAGGACTGCGAGTCAGCCAAGGTTGGACCTTTGCCTTGGAGATGTGTCTCGCGGCTTCGCATTGCAAGTGAAATGTCCAACAAATGGTCGGAACCTCGTCTGGGTGCTGCCTGCAGCGCCCAACCGAAGGCACCCACCTTTGTCTGATTTGTTTGGCGTCCGATTCCAATTCTCGGGCCACTTCGGGCTCTGGACTGATGGTCGCAGTCTTCTCCATAGCCCTGGAAAATTACAAAGCTCAACTTGTCCTGATTTTCTTTCCAGGGTCCTTTAAACAAACTCTTGCTCAAAAGGGTGGTATTTGGAGGAGTCGGCTAGCCACAACTCAGCACACTCTACAGCTATCACACTATCCGCCCCCCACCCCCTCTCGCGTCTGTCTGCGCCTTGGCCTCTTGGGTGTCCATGCCTAGGGCCGCAAAGCCTTGGCCAAATGTGTCCCGACCGATCCCCTGGCGCCTGGGAAAAATGTGCACGTTGTGTTTCTTTGGGGGACTTCAGAACGGAAACTTGCTCTGACCAGCTTATGTCTGTCTGGCGGTTGGGTTGGCGGTTGGGAGGTTAGACAATGGAGGATTTCAAAGAGGGAAGTCCACTAAACCAAGAGTGACAACCAGAAACAAAGCTGCAAGTTACACACGTCACAATGATTCAAATGAGACCCTTAGATGAAACAGCGCAAACATGTGATTGAAAGGATTCCGAAGAGTCCCCAACAACTGGGAGAAAGGGTCCCGGACTGCTTTGTGCATCTGGAAGGCTTTGGTGGTGCTGGGCGCAAACCTCTCGCAGGCGCTCTTCCGTGAGTTCCGCGTGGCCGTTGTCGCTGCCGGAACGGAGCGCCTCCTTCGATTTCGGCGCGCGCGCCGATTGGCATGGGAAACCTGGGGCTGAACAATTACTGGGGGTCTGAGGGAGAAAAAAGAAGTGCTTCTCTATCCTTGGGGTTTCCTTTTTGTGCTGTTTGGGGCCACTGGTACATGCCTACCCCGTGTTCCTGTCCGCAGGATCTGGTGGCTCAAATGAATAAGACACCTACCAACCTTCTGGAGTCCCTCAGCCCTTGGCATGGGACATAATCTATTTGCACCCCGTCAGTTTGATGGTGGCCATTGCTCGCTCTCGCATCTCTCACCCCGGACTGCCTCCAGCGTCTGCATCGCCTGCCGGCGCTCGTCCAAGCGCCAAAGGGCCTCGTGAAAGAAGACCGCGGCTATGCGGAGCCTCAGTCGAATTTGAACGAGCGGAGCGGTTGTCGTTTCAACCCTTCCCCTTTTGGAAAGCAAGGATGGGTAGAGAGCCGTGAGGGAGTCAAGAACTAAACCCGGAGTTGTCCGAAGTGGCCATTCGGCCATGGGTTTGAACAACCTTTTGGCTGGGCCGTGCCACATGGAGGGTTGGCAAACCATCCATAACCCCTAAACCAATCAATGACACAAGGAGGGACCAAACCCATTGGCCCCAATGGCATGGAGTAAGGATTGGCTTTGAACAGCTCACCTATCCTCTTGCGAGGGAAAGTTCATCCAAGAGCTGAGAATGCCATGGCTCAGGTTTTTGGAGGGACCCTTTTTGGGGTTGTTTCAACAAGAAACATTTTGAGGACTCCCCTTTTTTAATTGCAGAAATGGGGTGTGCCCAATTTATCATCAGCGTGCGAATGCCAAACTGCCTTGGGAAACGAGTATTGAGCTTTGGCTGAGGGCTGAGTCACAATGCATTCGAATCAAACCCGTCGTCGAGTCGTCAACCACCGCCAATCAACCGCATGTGTCCCTTCCACCGCCAGCCGCTTTGACTGTCTGGGGGAAAACCTCAAAGCGCACGCCACCCGATCAGGGCTCAGAACCAAGCTGCAAACACAGCAGCTGCCGTTAAAAGAGAAGCCACATAGATACCCCGGAGCAAAATAATTGAAGTTTCAGCTTAGTGACTTAGTGTCCTTTACAAAGCTTGGAGTACGGTACAGGCCAGGCCGCCACAACCATGCCCACAAAGCCATGTACACCAGGAAGAAGATCCTGGCGTTTGTTGCGAAGTGGTGTGACCGAGGGGAGGAGGAGGAGGAGGAGGAGGAGGAGGAGGAGGAGGAGGAGGGTGTGGAAAAAGGCCTGTAGACGGTGCTAATCTAGATAGTTGCTCTTGGCTACAGGGGCATATTTGGACTTCCGGCATCCGTGTTCTCGGCTCTCGGCTCAAAACAAACACATTTTGCATAAGTCTGCGTCTCACTACGGGTCATGAACACACGACCAACCAAGCGAAACTTAAAGATTCAAAGGCTACCCTTGGGCAACCGACACAGGCGCTCAGCTTCCCTTTCCAGGACATCGGACATCCAGCCAAATTGAGCTATGGCCGAAACGTCTAGCTCGCTTCAGATTAACCCTGGACAGTCCCTGCAACCCCCTGCTATGTAGGCAGCAAACGCTGCAGCCCCGGCTGAGAATGAATCCAACCACACAAGAAAATAAATCACCCCAAATGAAGAACACTGAAGCATCGCTGTAAGGATTCCCGGGTCTTGGAGTATACACAGATTTGGCTTCCGGCTTGCCCATCTAGTTTTCTCGAGGACTGACCCTTTGCCTGCAGCGGTGTCCATGCAAAGCAGCCTGAAGTCTGTAAATTGCCAAACTTGTGGTTGTTTCTGGGGATGAAGGGTTTGGCACGTTCTCCTCATTATTTTTTTCAAGGGGACTTCCACTGCCGAAGCAGGAGTGTTGACCCTGTCTGCGTGTGTGCCAAACGAGCGACCGCCCATTGGCGCGTTTGAGCGTTGTTCCGTTTTGAAGCCATTCTCAATTGCCATCGACTTGGAATTGCCCCCAAGCCCATGGGTATGGCAATGTCCGTCATTCTGCACGCCCCGCCAGGCACCCTTCCTTTGAAAAGCAGGCCGACGTACATCATATACATACTGAAACAGGGGTACCCATGCCCGGAGAAATTCGATGGTTGAGCCTGACTGATCCGAATCTCCAGGAACATCTGACTTGTTCGCATCCTGACATTGAAGCCTTTTTGAGGGCGCAAAGTCTGCATTGCCGACTCTCCCAAAACTTGCCGAGTCTCGAAATCCATCCTGGGCTCACCTTTTCCACCAGCAACCGCTGCCTTAAGAGCGCTGAGAAAACATGGGATGCCTATGTTACCTCTAAGCGTTTCACTGATCCCCATTGCTGTCTCAAAGAGTGCTTGAATCCGTGTTGACTTGGGACTCCTAAGGTGGGTATTGTTGTCGCACATGTGGGCTTCCGAGGTTGAGCAGTTCGGACATCAGTGATGAAATCAGGCAGCGCAAATCATTCTCTCATGGCCTGGCATGCAAAGCTGGAGGCTAAAACAACTGTTCAATCAAGTGCTACGTTGCTGTGTGAGAGATCGTACACCCTTGGTGTAATGCTGCTACCACAAAGGGAAGGGGAAAAGCAGAAGTTTACAAGGTCGGGTAGGACCGTTTCTGCGCGTCAATGTTCTCGTTCTGCGCGCAAGGGTAAGAAAATGGGACCCGGCTAGTTTTCAGGCTAACCTCTGAACAAAAATGCTGATACTAAATCCATATTTGAGCGAACCCTCCCATCCACACCCACCTCAGGGACAGGCCCTCCACCACCGCAAAGCCCCCGCGAAATGGACCATGCGACTAAAATGGCCGAGGGCTGGAATCAATCAGTCGTGACCCTGCTTGATCAGTTGTACTCACTTCCTGAGTGGATTGGCAAAAAAGAAAGTCTGAACTTGTTCTTCACCAGTAGAATGGTCCGCACAAATTTGTCAAATCCAGAAACTCCGCGGGAGGCAATTTTGTTTGACCCCATCCCCCTGAGATCCCCATGGCTGGCTCGCCCAGGCGCATGCCACCGAAAGGCACGTCCAAGAAGGCCGTGACTGATCGAAGGCCGGTGCCATAGTTGGCCCACACCTACAAAATGGCGACCTGCCACTTTTGGTCGAAACCAATCAAAAGGAGGTTCTACCCACTTGTCAAAACTAGAGACACTATTTGGAACTACTTACATGGGCTCACCTAGCACGCCTGCCGCGCCTTTGGTCTCATGTGGTGTTTTTCTGGCTGGGACAAAACTAGGGACCACTTTGGCACTGAGCATATCTTTACACTTATGCATGTGGCGGCACCCTCCCTGAATCTGAAGTGCGGCGTGCGAAACACTCTTTCAGACCGTGATCACGACAGTTTTGAGAGGAAACCTGCGTGAGACTAATCAGTCGGACGGGCTTTGACACAATGTCCCCTGGTTCGATCAGCCAGCCCAAGGAATCTCGAACAAACATAAGTCCAAGAAGGGATGTTCAAGCCGTTCACTTCCCCAAAGCCAAACAATACATAGGCTTCTGTCGACAAAACTGTTCAACAAGGGTCTCCCTCCCCCTCTCCCTCTCCCTCCCCCTCCCCCTCCCCCTCTCCCTCTCCCTCTCCCTCTCCCTCTCTTTCTCCCTCTCCCTCTCTGTCCCCCTCTCCCGCTCCATCTTTATCTTTCGTTGTTTCGTTATTTCGTTCTTTCGTTCTTTCTTTCTTTCTTTCTTTTTCTTTCTTTCTTTCTGTCTCTCTCTCTCTCTCTCTCTCTCTCTTGGTGTGTCTCTCTTGGTCTCTCTCTCTCTCTCTTGGTGTCTCTCTCTATCTCTCTCTGTCTCTCTCTGTCTCTCTCCCTCTCTTTTCACACCAAGAATGTGATAAAGAAATAGACGCACCGCAAGTTTCTACAAGTCGACCCCGCCAAAGGCCGCAAAGGGTTCACCATTTCATGGCTACGAAGCAGCGCGTACGCTCTCCGAACATGGCCCGAGGCTGCTCCGAACGTCAGGTGTCACAACGGAGGTGCGCACTACCGCACGCCATTTCCCAGCTCTCGTGATGTCTGTATACTTGATCGTTTTTCATGTGCAATGTGCATGTAGTCATGTGTAATTACCTCTATTAATATGTATATGTATATATATATATATACACATACAAACTTGTATTCCTGAGAAACCACAGCTCAATGGGTTCCGGTACCACGGAAGTTCCTGGTAAACTTATCTCGGCTACTTGCTACTTGTGTCACGTTTAGAAGGGGACTTGGCATCGCAGAAGCTAAACAAACACCTCATTTCCTCCAACCATGCGCCTGACAAAATCCCTCGGTCTGGACTCTGCCCACCGATCAAAAACAAGTCAAAGTTAAGGAAAATGGATCTTGGGCTTGAAGTATCTGTGCACAAAATCCGAAAGCCGAGCTCTCGCAATGTCTGCCGGGGCACCCAAAGCCTGTCCTCCAGCGCAGCAGCCTCGTCGGAAATGAAGAGTTGGATCAGGTTGCCCAGCATCAGCGCACCAGAGTACAGCAGAACCCCGAGCATCGCCTCAAAAATGGTAGTTTCCCCTGGTGGCTTCCCTTTAAAGCAACCCAAAGAGCACCCCTGAAAAGAACTAGACAAAACCCAAATCCCTCGAAGAAAACAAAAAAAGAAAGAACAGAAAATGGACCTCCACGCAGACACGGGGCTGGTGGATTGGCAATGGACGAACATATATGAAAGCGGTTTATAGCTTGCACCCCTTAAGATCTTGCCAATGAGGGGCCCTGGACCGGTTTCAGGAGCTTTGTGCCCATCCTGAAGAAGGTAAACAAGGATCCATCATGGGATCCAGCTGAACAAACTTGAACAGCAAGGGATTCTCAGGAGTCAATTGCTCCAACCGTTCGAACATGTCTAAGCCACTCAGTTAGGTTTTCCGTTTGCATGCGTTGCGTTTCAACAGAAGTGCCACGCCCTGCCCCATGACCCAAACAAGGGCGTTGGTCTTACAACGGCCCAGCAGGAGCAAGAAGGTGATACAAACTATTGCACAAGAAACAGATAGAGCCGAGACCAGTGCTCATAGCTTGAAAACTCAGAATGACACTCGGAATGCTCATTGCTGCAAGCCGTCGAAATGGACCAAGACCGGCGCAAACCCAAAGCAGACAACAGGTTCTTATGTTCTGTTTATGTGGGGGTCTTCAAGTTCACCCCGGCGTCTAGTTTCCTTTGCACCAGCAATGGCCAAGTGCTTTGTAGCAGAATTGGTCCAGTCAAAGCCCGCTCAGGGCCTACCTGGGGCCCAGGCCAGGCACCAAAAGAGCTCCCTGGCGGCCAAGCCGAGTTGTCCTTAGCCGATGCATTCGCGTTTGCAGGAAGCGCCCTTCCCCGCAACAACTTCTCACGCGCTGAGCAACCCCAAGTCTGGCTAAACCAGAGCAACATTGGGAAAAGGAACCTTCACCAAAAAGAAGACCAAAGCAGTGTTGGGGGACGCGAAAAGATTGGCCTGTGGCGCCCGATTTTGTTCTCTCTCTCTCTCTCTGTATTCAAAATTGGTCTTGAAGCTTGGTTGGCTTTACTGGGTATTCATTCCGCTTTGTCTTTGTTGGCACTCTTGAAGCTAGGAAAATTGCTCTAATTACTTCCCAAATTGGACAAAGCGGAACGCCTCGTACAGGCCTTGATGTGCCTTGGCCAAATGAAGAGAATCTCTTCTTGGGAGAAAACAAAAGCAACAAAGGGAACGAAAAACAAACAAACGCGCAAGAAACAAACAACAAGCAACAAAAGGTCGCCATTGGTTGCCACAGGTTTCGCTCGAGCCTTTGCGGCAGCATTGGTCGGAGGTCCACACGCAGCAGGCGCAGTGCGCGCAGGCAGTGCAGCGCCCGCAGTACGTGGAGCATCGCACCCCTAGGGTTTCTGGCTCTTGGGGTTTGGTAGGGGTGTGCCCAGCCATGGACACATGGAAAGTATATGTTACAGCTGTAACCGACCATCCAGTACACTAAAGGAGGAGCTGGCAAACAAACATGTGTTTGAGTTCCGCTTCTCGTTTCCAAGGGGAACCCAAATTCCCATGTTGTTGGAGTTCAACCACCCATCGTTTTAAGGCTACCTGGGGGCAAATCAACAAGGGTCCCTGAGGAGTGGGGGTTCGTGATTCCATCTGTGTGCAGTCTGCCGGATCAAAAGGGGACATGAAGCTACAAGCGGAAATCCATGCTCACCCGCCTCATCAAATTCCAACAAAAACGGGGTGGGGAGCTGGTGGCTATAGAGTTCCTCGAGGTGGTTGCCTTTTGGTTGAAAACACCGGGAAGCCTCAACTGCGGGCGTAAACCCAATTCCTGGTTACGTTGAATAAGATGAGTTCTCAATGAAAACATTAAGACGGTAACCGCACGTGACACATGCTGAAAATGAAGCCAGTTTGGGGGAAGCAACCAAAAGGACCCGCAAATGACAGATTTAACATTCTGGGTGCCATCACAGAAAAGAGACTGCACGTGTGAAATCAAAGGGCAAACATTTGGCTGATTGGAGATGCTTTGGTGGACATCAGTTACTTGGGCTTTCCGAGCTTTGAGGCTGTTCCAAACAGAACTGTCATAGCCATGATAGCCCCAGCCACCGACATTCATCTTTTGAGGAACCACTTGGCATTCTTCTTTCTGACAATCTGTCGACATGTTGGTCTGCCAGTTTGTCTCTGTTATACCTCTCTCATTGTCTAGCAGCTGGCCTCCCGTCTGTCAGCTTATATATCGTACCCATGGTTTTCTACTGCGACCTCAGCTATCCCCGCCGAATCCGTCTATCTGTCTACCTATCCCTTACCTACGTTGTGCCTTTTCTGTGGCTATCCTCGTGTCCATCTATGTGCATGGTACCTTTCTATCTACCTTTCTATCTACCTTTCTGTCTACTTTTCTATCTACCCGTCTACATCCATCTGTCTACCGTTATAATTTCCACCCGTGGATCTATCTACCTATACATTTACCTGTCTATCCATCTAGCTGCCTTTCCATCCATCTACAATACCCAGCTCACGTGCCTCTACCTGGCCATTCATCTAGCAAGCAAGCAGCCAACCAAGCAATTGCACGACCAATCAACCAACCAGCCAACCAAACAACTGGGCAAACAAACAATCAATCAACCAAACAACCAATGAATTAATAAATGAATCAGTGAATGCATGAATGAACGCTCAAGCGAAGGAACAAATGACTGAACAAATGAACTAGCATATGAAACATGTTTGAATGCATGAATGAATGAACGAATGAATGACTGAATGAATGAATGAATGAATGAATGAATGAATGAATGAATGAATGAATGAATGAATGAATGAATTAATGAGTGAGTGAGTGAGTGAGTGAGTGAGTGAGTGAGTGAGTGAGTGAGTGAGTGAGTCAGTGAGTGAGTGAGTGAGTGAGTGAGTGAGTGAGTGAGTGAGTGAGTGAGTGAGTGAGTGAATACATCAACCAACCAACCAACCAACCAACCAACCAATCAACCAACCAACCAGTCAAATCGACCAAAACCATCAACCCAGTGTCACAAGCGACCAATCAAGGAAGCAACCAAGCAAGCAATCAAAGTCAGTCAATGAGAGAACCGTCCAGCAAGCCAACAAGTCAGCACTCGACCAAGCAGCCAATAAATCAGTCAACCACCCAAACAATCAAGCAGATGAACATTCAACAAACGAATGCATGAATGAATGAATGAATGAATGAATGAATGAATGAATGAATGAATGAGTGAGTGAATGAATGAATTAATGAATGCATGCATGAATGAATGCATGCATGAACAAACGAAGGAACAAATGAATGCATGGATGAATGAGTGAGTGAATGAATGAAATAATTATTGAATTAATTAATGGACAGATCAATGACTGGGAACATGACGAGTCAGTGAATTAACGTTTGAGTGAATTAATGCATGAATTCATGAATGCATGAATGAACAAACAAATGTACGAATGAACGGATGACTGCATCGATGAATGGATGAATGAACATGACATGACATGATCATAAAATGAATTGCAATGAACGGAGTACTCAAATGAACCCATGAGCGAATGAGTTCATGAATGCGAGAATTACTGAATGAATCAAGGAGTCCAGTGAGTCCAATGAGTCAATGAACCAATGAATCAATCAACCATGGATTAAGCAATGAATGCAAGAGCACATGAATGAATCAAGCTGCCGGGCAATGAGGCAATCAACGCATCAGCGAGTCAGTAAGTTAGATAGTCATACAATCAGTCAGAGACCCAGTCCATCAGTCAAGCAAACAATCAATTGATCAATAACTACATAAACAAACAAATAAATTAACCAGTCAATAAATTACTAAAACTGACAATCCAAAGACAGAATCCAAATCTACAGATCAACAAATCAACAAAACAATACCTGGAAATTCCAACGTGTACTTATTTCTTGTAGTTTGTGAACTTGACCTAAAATTCCCTATTTTTCCAGAAAACGCCTAAATTGATGAGTTTCTGCACTTTCGGGGCATCAGAGCACCTGGAGTTTGAAGACAATGACCTTGCGGCATTTTTCCGCCTTTTGGGCCCCGCGTGGGACGCATCCCCTTTTCAGGCGGGATTTGCGTGATGCATCAGGACATCAAGGGATCAAGGCATCAAGCCATCATATTGCGGCGGATGCCCACATAGTAGATCTGAAGCATGACATTTCCCAGCACCAAAATGCGCAAAATCTACGCAAATTCGTGAGGACCCTTGCTACAACTGCTTGAGACCGGTATCGATGCATTTTGCCGCGCCGACTTTTGCCCGCACAACGCCCGCAAAAACCCGCACAACGCCCGCAAATCCCCGCAAACGCCCGCAAATCCCAAAATATCCTGTTTGGGGTATATCCATCTTTTTGCAAATCAGCCTATGGCGCGGCCAATTCAACAAATTAGTGGGTGGCTACTTCAACAGATCAGCCTTGGGCGACGCCGAGGCCTCGCCCAAACTTGGAACACAATGCACAAATGCATGGGCCAGTCCCGAGTTCAGTGAGAACCGGGTGGGCTGCAGATTGATAAGGATGTTCAACAGGATACGCGCATCAGCAGGTGTCAGTGCACAGGCGCTTGCGGGGAAGGGCGCGAGGGGCAAAAGGAACATGGCACGACTAGATTTCCTGAAGCTCGCCTAGATTTTCCAAAAACGACGAGGAATCCGTCAGAACGCCTAAACTTCGAGAACGACAAGGAATAAGTACGCAAAGGAATGTCCAGGTAAGACCAATAAATCAAAATCAATGCCAACCAACCACTCAATCAACAAAATCGTCGATAAATCAAGCAACCAAACAATCAATAAACCAACCAATCAAGTTTTGGCCATCGGCACGGAATCTAACTTTGCCACTGTATAATAATCTGTAACCCGTATCCAAAACTAGCGCGGGACTGCGGCCGCAGAATGATTTAGATCTATTTTGCCAAATGTCAAGCCATGTCAAGCCTACCAAAGCAATCCGTTGTAAGGCAGCGCCAACGAATACCTGGACCCTCCGGCGGCAGAACTTTCTGCCGAAAGGCCCCGGCGGCAGAAATTTCCGCCGAAAAGCCCAAAAAACGCCGCCCGCAAGAAAAAACGCCGAAACGCAACAAACACTCCGACATGCTGAAACCTGCTTCCGCGAAATTCCGGCGATTTCCCGCCGAATTCCGCCGATTTCCCGCCGAATTCCGCCGATTTCCTGCTGCCTGTTTTGCACAGAAATTGATTTTGAAAAAAACGCTGCCAGGGAAAAACGCCGCCAACAGCAAAAAGGCGCCTTTTTCCAAAAAGGCAGACACTTTTGCCGATTTGGGTGGTCCAGGTATGAACTCTACAAATGCTTGCAATGCATTCCAAGAAAGACCCTAGGATTGCAAATCGCAATTGCGACGAAAACTCGCAATCTTCAAAAACACTGCGCGGCACGCAACAAGTTACGATTTTCGCACAGGCGCGACAACATTGTTTGCGCACAGAAACTTGTTCCGCCTGCGCACGCTTGCAAGCACATGACATGCACCCGGGGCTCGCCGTTCTCTTCGCCCCTGCTGCGCACGCGCACCGACCGCCGGCCTCTCGCCCACAGCCAGCAGCACTAAGTCCAGTGCACCCAGCAGCGCCAGAAAGGCGTCCAGCACATTGCGCCCCATCAAGAAGAAGCCCTTAGGGCCCCGGAAGGGTAAGGTCAAGGCCAACAAGTAAATCAATCAGGTGGGATGGGCGTCTTGGTCAGGACCCTGACAGTTTGGCTCAGCCCTAGCAAGTAGGGGCAAACTAAACAAGATTATCTTTTTAGCAAGGGCAAAACAGACGATCATTTATATCACAGGATATAGGTTAACAACATCACCAAGCCTTCTGATACTGCACACCAAATCCGCCGACGCCAGTCGAGCGTGTAGATGGCAGTCCGCAACTTGGTCTTCCTTCGGATCTCTTATCAAAGCCGAAAGCTGTTGGGGCTGCCATTTTTTTGGCATGGTGTGCTGGGTGTCCAAAACCCTGTAATTGTCCAGTGTTTTTGGGGCTTGCCTGCTAAAAACCTGCGCTTCGCCTAGGTCTTAAGGCGGGGGGGTTCCCCTGACGCGCAGGATCTGCATCCCCAGCATCATCAGGGTTACCTTGCTGCTATGAGTTTGTCTCTTTTTTTGCAGATACTAATGGTGTTTTGCTGTTTCCAGCGATGTTGGAATCGGCCTGTTCGGGGTCTGGGTGGGGCCAAGTGCATTGATACGTTGAGGAACTGTTTCAATTTGCAATTTTTTGCAATTCTCCACCTGTATGGAGCAGTTACTGCGAAACATCCCCTGCATTATCGTTTTTGGAAGTGCTTTTTTAGGGTATTTCAAGGGGGTTGCTAGTATCTGCGTTTGATGGTTGATTTTGGGAAATATCAACAATTGGGACTCTTTTGCGGCCAGCCGTCTGCATTCCCAGCATTCCCGACATCTCTGGCATTTTCTGTGCTACGCAATTTTGCGTGTCTGAAAGTCTTCTTGTTGGATGCGAAGATTGGGTCTGTTCCTGTACGTTGTGTGGTTGCATCCCTTGCATTTCCAGCATCCCCATGATCTGGGACTTGTTTCCTGACTGAAAAAATAGGAAAGTGCCAAGAAGGCCTTGTTGTGGCACTTTCAGACTTCCACGAAAAAGAAAAAAGGGTCTTAAAATCCCTTGCACCCCACTGGCGTTGGCGGATCGCGTCGCGATTTCAATAGTGTACAAAATGTACAATGCGTCTATAAGATCAAGTGCACATTGTTGCGTCTGAAGCAACCAGTGGGATAACACCGACTCTGGGCATGTTGGCTAGGCCAGGTGTGCAAGAATACAAGCAGCTGCGTCCGGCTCTCACTTGTTGCCAACATTTGCCAACCATGGCTCTCGGGCTAGCAAAACTGGGTTTCAGCGCAAGCACGCTTTCAGCACCATGTCTAGCATAAAATCGCACGGATCTAAAAATTGTGAGCCTGCGTTGGATGAAACATTAAGAAATTAATCTGTGATGGCCTGCTCCACTTTTCCGGTTAAGCCTTTGTGTGTGTGTGTGTGGGTGCGCGCTTGCATGTGCATGCGCATGTGCGTGCAGGCAGCTGCACGAGCCTTTGCGCGTGCGCGCGTGCCTGCGTGAGTGAGTGCGAGGATGGGTGGGTGGGTGGGTGGGTGGGTGGGTGGGTGGGTGGGTGGGTGGGTGGGTGGGTGTGCGTTTGTGTGTGTGTGTGTGCGTGTTTTTGTGTTTGTGTTTTTGCTTGAGTTTGTGCTTTTGTGTGTGTTGTTTTAGTTTTAGTAAGTCTGCAACAGAAGGTTTGAAATGTCCCGGAAATTGGCCGTGGCTCACTTCCCGAGCGAAGCCTGGCCACCAAGGCCCGGTGGGATGATACTCCAGTCAGGTTTCATGTCAGTTGGTGGGACAGTGGCAGGGGAAGTATTGTGTTTTCTTCGCAGACCCCTTGACGTTCGAATGCCAGGGGTTGGCACCCCCTCGCCAAGCTGCAATGCGCAGTGCAAAGATCTTGGCCAGAAACTCGGCCAGGAAGGCCGCATCAAAGGCTCCCTCCTAAGCAAAAGCTGGGGCGAGCGACTCTCAAGCATGCATCACAAATGCAAGGCCTACGGAAAGAATGTTATGCTTATGCATTGGTATGCATTGCGAATGAGTACCGTAGCCTTTCAACACAAACGGTCCTTTAATATCTTAAAATGAGAGACCTGGATCTGAAGCCAAGTCAGGGACCTCGATCATGGGGCCCGGAATGGCTAAACCTACCTGCAACTCCCATTGTTGCAAAAAAGCCGGGCTGTGCAGCAAATGATGGATGAGTCTGACTCGCTTCAATGCTGAAATGAGGCACACATGCGCCAATATCATCCTATCCCAAAATGCCTTGAAGGATTCCCCTATGCACGCAGCATTCTGCAAGGGTCCGCGTCCTGTCAGATCTATCTCACTCACAAGCCTCCCACATTGCTCATATCTCCCCAGCCCTGCGCCAATCGCAAGCTTGGAGTGCTTCTTCCTTTCGAGATTTTACTTCCGTATTTTTAAGTGGGAAGGCAAACAAAGTCTCTGGAGCCAAATACGCCACGCGAAATGGAACGAGTCAAGCAAAGCGGCCCCATACACTAAAGGCTTCTAGTGTGGTAAGAGCAGGGTTTCTGTGGGATTCATTTGTAATAAAGCATGGGATGGAGAGGGTGGGGCCTTTTGATTAGCCCGCTGCAACGCCAAGTCCGGGCTACCGGGTCGGTTCTTGCACAAATCCGCGGAGAATCCCCGGCATGCTTGCACCCGAAGACCCACAAATACGCCGACCATGCCGACACCACGAGCGCAAAGAACACGTCGGAGTCCCTGACAAAGATCCGCCGACCCATGGTTGATAAACAAGAACTGGGTTGGCAGCAAAGGTGGCCTTGCAAGCACGTCATGTTCGGACGGTCTCATGTGAGCTACAAGCTTTCTGTGTTTGCCTACAACGGCTGCAGAATATTTCAAAAGCTCATGAGACACTACAGAAAAGCAACATTTGTGTATTTGCTGTATACAGGATCCATCAGGACTTGCCGCACATTTGTGTATGCCTATATCATGGGACCTCGGGATTGATTCATGGCCCCAAGTCGCTTGTACCCATCCTTGAGCCTGCAATCGTGCAATTGGTCAAAGATGGTTGTGAGGGGATCCAATTCATGGCTTAGTGGGTGGTGATGAGTAGGGATGTGAGATGAACTCAGGGGTCCTGTTAAAGGAATCCACAAGGGCTCATTCCGTGCTGAGTGAGCACCAGCAAGCTTCTCAGCCGCCGGCCACTTGCCTGTCAAGACGCCAAGGCCAGGAACGCCGAGTACAGAGCGTCCGGCGGTGCGTGGAAGTCAGCCCCGTAAACCTCCAGCTCAAGGAAAAGAGCCGCGAGGTTGAGTAGGACCTGAGCGGACGACAAAAAGGTGTATTTTTCGAGCGGGGGGGGGGGGCAAGGATTGTTGGTTTGCTTTTGGTTTACCTCCCCCCCTCCGAAAAAAAGGGTGCTCTCTCTCAAAAAAACATTCACCCGAATCACAAGTCGAATGTTACATGAGGGCCCCTCTATGTTGCTGTTTTGCTGCCAGGTTTCCATGGACAAAACAACAAAAACTTTTCATTTCACCCAACCCAACCCTGTGAACAGGAGAACAAAGGAAAGTGCTGTACTTTACGGCGACTTGTTACTCGCAATAATGAGGGAATCCACCTTGAGCCGGCCTGGACAAAAGGCAGGATGGGGAAATCCGATTTTCCTGTCCTCCTGACTGACATCAGGCCCTAGGTTGTGAGATTTGTGGGTGTGTAATCTTGTCTGCGCTAGGATTAACCACTTGCCTTGTTGGTGGGTATGTCCAGCATGGAATGATGTTTGTGTATGCAGTATCTGTTTTGTTTCTGTTTCTTTGTCGGGCCTCTGGGATAGCAGCACCTTCAGTTCTCACCGAGATCCTGATTTGCTGCAATCTACCGCCTTTGCCTAACAAAACTATACTAGCGACCCTTGAAACCAAACAAACATGTCAAAAAAGACAATCGAGCAATAACCCTGGCTCATATCACTCTGAATGGCATCCCCCTTTCGATCACCAATCAGTGTGTACGTTACTTTCCCTGAAACTCCACGGTTCCCTGAAATTCCGTGTGCTGCTTCCGCTCCGCTTTGGCTGAGACGCGATCCAGCCGAAGGCAAGCTCCAAGCGCCATGCGATCCTGGCCCAATCTCAAGCCCCAGGAACGGGCCGGGTGACTCCTTTCATGGCCATTCTCTCAGTATGGGTGCAACCGGAAATGCAAATGCTCCCTCTTGCCACACCGACGTCTCACTATAGGCCGCCAGGAAAAGCAAAGCTATCAAAGCTCACTATGTGAGCACCCGACAAACAAGTACCCACCCCCGCCCCAACAACAAGAAGCAGCAGGCCTATATACATGGAGCAAGGGATTGACAAATCGATGCAAATCAAATGGCCGGCCGTCTGCGCGATTTGGGGCGCTCCTGCTCCACCAGCTGACATCGGGCGCCGAGGCTGCGCTGATGGATCCAACCGTCTCGAGCACTGGCTCGGCAATCTTCTCGGGCCTGGCTTGAGTGAGGGAAAGCTTCCACTTCGTAGGTTTCGGAGTGCTGAAGAATACCGCCAAAGCATCTCTTCAAACCACCAGAGAGTCAGAGAGAGAAAGCTGCCCAAAGCCAAGTGCAAGTGCACATTGATTGAGAATATATAACATCTCTCGAAGCAACTGGATTGAAGTCACTCTTTGCAAGGAGGCCCATGCGTAACCCAAGAGAAGGTTGTCTTTGCCTTCCACGTCGGTTCTTTTCTGCGACAAGTTTTGCAGAAAAAAGAGGAAACCCATACTTTCCGGGGGCCCAACTCAAGGTAGTCCAAACCCTGGCCCGGTCAAGAGACATCGTGTGATGAGCTGCTTTCAAAGGGCTCCTGCTATGCTTTGAAACGGCAACGTGCGAGCGTCAATCAAGTTGCGAGTGCGACTAGGGTCAACTACACATGTCAACAATCACTGAAACATAATTTATTGTTATCCAAGCAACTAGCTGCCGAACTAAGAAACAACATCAAATGGTACTGCAAATGTTTGACACATGTATTTGTGTTGCTGTGTCTTTGCTGGAGTCTTTGAATCTGCAGCTGCAGTTGAGCATTAGCTTTCCGTGATTCAAAGCGCGGTGTTGATGAGTTTGGTTTAGCAACAAAACCAAGGAAAACGATCCGCTCATGAACATCATAATGTGCAACTGATGCAATGAACAATCAAACCCGCGTTTGCCATTGACATCTTCCGGAAAGTCATGGAAATGCGCCGCCCCCGAATTCTACAGGGGCAAGGGCAACAAATTCAGACCATCTGCGGCTCTATGTGTTATTTGTCATGTACTGCTCAGAAACTAAAGCTGAGTTGAAGCAGAGCAATCCATCACTTTTGGCCAACTTTTAGGATTTCCGATTTAGGAGACACCCAAATCCATTCCTGTTGAGCGGCTCGATCTTCAGCTCCGCCAGCACCTCCTTGACAGCCTGCCAACAAAGCTCTCACTTCAGCCCTTGGTGGTTTTTGGCCGAGTCATTCTCAACCATCTCCTGAACTCCGGTTGCTCCTTAGCTCCCTCTTGAAATGCAAATGTGGATACCCCCAGCAGCTTGGCTCTCTTCCAACCACCACTCAGTTTTGAAATCAAAAGACAAATTCCAATTAATGGAACTAGGGATTGACAATCTGGTGGTTTAATAGGAGCGTCGCGTTTTAGATTGGAATGCTGACCATTTGGCGGAAACACCCTCCTAGTCATCCTCATCCAAATGATGAATTTGGTTAGGAAACCAGGGTGTGCCCTAGTGGCGACGTTTCTGGCATGCACCACAGAAACGGAAAGCCTCAATGGCGCTGCTAGACTGGGAAAGTGATGAGAGACGTTCCCTCTCGCACGCTGCACTCTTGGCATGGTTGCAATGACTGCACTTTGGCGCAATCTCTACGGCCCGCACTCGTGCGAGGTAGCAATCCCTCTTGGTGAGGTCGTCCAGACTCGACGTTGATGCCCAACAAGCATAATGCCAAATGCGAGTATTTCCGAGGACCATACCAATCAAAGGAACCTCCCCAACACCTTGAACTGATGCCCACAAAGCAGGGGATGGGGTCCTCGCATAGTCACCGCTGGTTGGCGTGGCTCTATGTGGCCCTCCTTTTGATGAATCCAAAAAAAAAGCAACAAAAACCTGCGGTTACGGTCCAAGTCTAAGCCAAAGCCACTGACCGACGCGCGCACAGCAAGTTGCCCGTCCTCAAATTGGACCTCTGGAGGTAGGGGATCACCTGGGGTGATGCAGTCTTTAGGGCGCGGCCGGGGGGGAACATCTACCTCTGTGCTTGCCCGCGCCTAAACAGGATGTGCTGATTGGTCCATTTATTACATCTTTGTTTTGAAGATGGCATCTCCTGGCTCGCTATGGAAGCAACCTGGCTTCCGTCTTGAGTGAGCCACATGAAAATATGATCGGAGAATTGCATCTAAAAGGCCTGCTCACCTCTTGGGGATCCATGCAATACTGGCTTGCCTTCAACTGGAGGCCATCTCAAAATTGGAGACCCCTTTAACCCGGTGCAATCGCTCTGAGAAAGCTCCATGACCTCTGAAAAGAGTGTTTGATCTGCTCAAGCTACTGCGAATAGATGAAGCCTACCCAAATGAACTCCAAGGAACCACGACGTTCCGACTGAAGGCAATCATGGAATCTGCCTGAAAAGTCATAGAGACGGGTTTAGGGCTGTTCGATTGCCCTGTTCGCAAGTTCTATTGGGAACAGGCGTCCCAAACTACTGGGAACCTCCTGTTGGCGGAGGTTCCCACAAGCAAAGAAGCCGCCCTTCTTGACACATTGCCACCACTACCACTAATTACCACTGCTGCTACTACGGCTGCAATTGATTCTGCGCCAGACGTTGCTCTTCTGGCGCACGCCCAAAGTTTAGGTTGGCCACTCTCCTCCGCGATGCAGGGCTGGGAGGTGGGCAAGGTGCTGCTGTGCACCTCCTGACGGCACAACGCCCAGTCCACAGGACAGCTGTGCAAGAGTGTCTGATACAAACCTCTTGCTGGTAGTGCAACTGAGGCTCAAGCATGGTGAAGGTTTGGGAAGTCACTAAAGCCCCATATTGGCCTGAAGTTTTACAGGGCCTTCTTCATAAACCCTGAGGCGATGAATGCTCTTTTAAGAAATGGCCATTGAGATGATATTTTGTGGCTTGACGTGTCTGCCCACCAAGTCGACGTTGTGACGTTGTCGTTGTCTCAGGGCTACAGCGGAAAAAGCGCTGTGCTGAAAGTCGCTTTCCGCGCACCGTTACGCCGGAAAAAGTGGCCGAACAAACCTTTGCGATCGGGAACGATCGCCAGTAGCCGAATGCAGCTAGCCGTCATGGCCAGTATCTCACTTCAACTTGGGGGGGACTGTGGCCGCGCTCCACGCTGCGTCGTGCGTCTCCCGGGAACAACGGAAAGAACAATAGCCAAAGTGCGCACTCAGTGGGTGGGCCCTTGCTCTGGGCAAAAAGCGAATTCAAGGAACTATGCGCATGACACGCCAGCGTGCAACAAGATAATATATATATATATATACACATTTATATATTTATAATAAGTTGTTCAAGCCGGGAAAAAGGCGAGAAAAGCGAAGAAAAGAGCGGAGCGAAGGGCGGAGAGAAGAGCGGAAAGAGCGAAGATTGGCGCGAAGAGTTGGATTCAGCGCCGGGAGAAGAGCAGAGCAAAGAGTGGAGCGAAGATGGAGAGAAGTGCGGAGAGAAAACATGGCCCAAGCATGGTGACGCCACTGCTTGTCATTGTTTTGTCACAAGCCGAGCAAGGGCGGTGGCCAGGCAAAGCCTACGAGTATTACTCAGTTGGGCTCGTGCGCAACAAGCGGATCCGTTGGCCAGTCAATGGGAAAGCACTGATGGGGTGGTATTAGACCCCCTTAGACTCCCCCGAAGAATGTTGTCTTTGCTACTGGCCAGTGGCGAGATAGTCATTTTCCAAAAGGGTGGGTTGTGGAACAGGTCAATAAACAAGCAGCAGATTCAGCCAACAACAATTAAGGGAGCTGGGAGGCAAATTTCCTGATGCTCCACGAACATCCTCATGTAGGATTCCGAATGTTGACCCAGTAGATCCGTGGTTGGCTAGTAGGGATGCCCTACTCCCTCCCTCGTCAAGTTTAACCAGGGGTTAGCACTCAAGCAGTCCGTGGGACTCTTGCAGATGTGGTTCCCCCCTGGGATGAACACGCCCTCCAACTCGCCTCCTGCATCCAGGTGGGCTTGGCCTGGCGTGCCTGCCAGGCGATTGGGCGCGAGTCTTTGAGCAACTGCAAAGCCCTGTAATGCGACCTATCTCTAGGACTCTAGGCATCCAATCACCATCTATTTGAACTTTCCGGGGCCGAAGCTGCGCATTTGAGCAAATGTTCAGGTTGGCCATGCTCGAGCGTCCTTGAACTAATAAGTCTCGGAGGAAGGGGGGGGTGATGTTGGCAATCCAAGCCGCAAGTCGCCCTTGCGGATTGGCCTCCGCTCTTCTCAAAGCCCCTTTCGAAGCCTGCTTGGAGCAAACGGTGGAGCACAATAAATTCTGATTGGGTGGACACGACTTGGAGAGTTGGCAAATCATTTTTTGTAGCCAGCGTTCACCGATTCCAGGAGAGAACAAAAGAGACAAGGGTTCTTTCAGTGAACCAACCGTCCGCGCCGCCCTGCAGAACAACAAGTCACCACAAGGTACGCCCTGAGATGCCCTAAACCCCGAGGCGCCCGAAAGAACCGCCCCAAGAAACCCTCGTTAAACGTGGGCTCCAAGAACTCGAAGCATGTCCCGCCCCCCCCCCGAACTTTGGAGACACCAAGGAACACCAGACCTTTAGAAACCTGAGTGACTGGTAAGAATCCCAATGAGCCCCGCAACAGGTTCCCGGAACCCAAATGACTTCCAAGGAACCAGATCCCAAGGAGCCCGCCGAAGCTGTGCTTCCCCAAGCGGCCTGTTGCTGCAACACTGAGAATGCGACCCGCAAGCTGCGGCCCATAACCTCAGCCCGTGAGATAGGCTGCGGTTCAGCTTCCCTCTTGGTGGTTTGGATTGGAATGATTGGAGTGGTGTCCCATTTGCCGGTTCAGCCCCCCAACCTGCCAATCAACACCAGCTAGCAGTGGAGACTCTGTGACCGCTTTGCCACCAGCAAAACATGATCCCATCATAATCCCAAGCTCAGATTTGACAAGGCAGGGGGCCCGCAGGCCCTCTCCCTTGAAATATCCCCCCAATAAAGCCAGCCAAAAACCGTCCGACTTGAGGCCCTGGGAACTGCTCCGGTGCTTACGCGGCATCTGGTGCACTTGCTAGGAACCGTATGCACGCTGCAGCTTCAGGAGGAAACTGGACATTGCCCGGAATAGGTCGAAAAACAGAGACACTTTCATTGTCCCGCTCTGAAGCGAAACACCCGCGTCCCTGACCGGCGATCGAGCACGAGCAAGGTTGCTGCCCCAAGCTTGAATCGGACGCAAACCAACGGCCTGAGGGGGAACCCGGCCAATTTCAACTTGATTGCTTTTGGGGAATTACTTTGTACCTGGTTTTGCTGACTTGATCATGGCTTGATATCCCTCTTGAGGGCTGCAGCTGTGAGGATGACTGAATTCTCCTTTTCAGCGGGGTTCCCCCAAGCGGGACCAACCCAGAAGTGGCGTTGTCTTTAAGACCAACCCAAAGGGGGACCCCCTAAAAAAGACACATGTGAGTTCTGAAATGGTGGACCCCTCTTAGTTCTAGACACAAAGGGAAACTACAACAAAGAGAAAACTGACAGAAAATCAACCGTTTCATTTAGGACCGGTTTGAGAAACCCCTAGATCCACCAAGAAACCAGCCGCTAGACACAAAAAAAAAAAGAACCACTGACCACGGGTCCGTCGAAGCGACGAATCGGGGCCTGGTGCTGCTCCTCGGCCAAGCGTAACAAGTGCCGCTCCTTTGCGCGAACCACGACTTGAAGCCAGCCGAAGCCACAAGAAACTCTCTGGGCGCTAAGAACTAGGGTTCTAGGGCAACAAAAAGCCTTTGGGATTCTGTTTTGTTGAATGACACGCTTTGGGCTATTTCGCACCATGTGTTGGACGTTGGTCAAGCCACGCATCAAAGGGGGATTGGGCAATCTTCCTGTTGTCTTACCCAGAGCTGGTTTCTTATTTAACCCTGCTACAGTAGGCTTTGGATCCAGAGCTGGAGTGGCGCGTGTGGGAGAGCTAACAGGCGAACGCCACGATGGATAGAATCTTCGGATAGAAGTTACTCTCAACCACCTCAAGAGAAGCATGAAAGCATACCCCTCAAAGATGTTGGGATCGCGACGTTGTGGCCGTGTTGCTGTTGCAGCTTTCTATGCGGGGCGGGTGACGTAAGAGGGTGAGCAGCTGTCAAGACTTGCGTCCCGACTTATGGACTTCCCCCTGCGATTGATTTCACTTGTTCCCGTGTGCTTGCAACGCAGTGCGGCCGCAAACCGACTTGCAAGCCTGCAGCAGCTTCCAACAGGATGATAGGTTGACCCATACTGGAAAGCCTAACTGCCGGTGGAATCGGAACAGATTTTAAGTGGGCATCTGAAATACTGATATTGAGCCAAAGCAAGGCAAGGGGACACTTTGGCTCGTGTTCCTTGATGGCGGCTGGGCACAAATAGGTAGCCAATCTTAGGCTGCAATGGCACTGGCTGGCAAGGGCACAAATCGCATGCGGCAAACCAAAAATGCTAGAGTGCAGCGCATGCAGGGTAAGCATGAATTCGAGGCCTTTCGCCGGGGGGTTTCGGGGGGGGGGGGGGGCATCCAGGTTGCATGTGTCCAGGGACATGAAACAAAATCTTCACCCAACACTTGTCTCTCCGAACTCGATACGGATAGGTTCTGCGTATGCTTTGGCCTTGAACATGCGGGAATATCTGGTCTCCTGTTCGGCGGCGATCTGCAAAAGCATATCCATGTTCGCCATGGCCGATGCGCACCGGTCAGACCCGCCGAGCAAACTGTCACGGGTCTGTTGGGCCAACGGCTGAAGTCCACCCGTGGCACATGCTCACTCAAAGGCCAGCCGCCTCCCCGGCTGCTGTCGGCTTGGGGAGTTAAACCCCCGGACAGTTTCTGGTCGTTTTGAAAGTGCTGCCGGACTCTCGCTGGTCGGAGGGGGCACATGGATGATTTGGATGGGCTTGGGATCAGCTCTCTTGGCCAAGAATAAGCCGGCAAATATAAACTGGGATCATAAAGCCGAGAGCGAATACGCCGTGAAACCCGTCAAGCCTGTAAATGGTGCCAACTGATGGGGATTCACACGTTTGCCGGCGTACCCGGTAAGATCAAACCCATGTCCCTGCAGACTTTGCAAGGCCGGTTCCAACCCCTCGATGTGCCTTCCTTCAAAATTCAGCAGGGCCTGATCGGCTGAAGTGGCCTTGCTCGCCAACAATAAGGGGCACCTGAGGAAAGCACAAGGCGCAAGTCACACCACATGAGAATATACCAGTCATCAACGATCAGAACATATAAAAACGCTTGAGGCGTGCAAAGAAACCAACATGCCTCCTTGCCCACCCACACTTGGCCATGCCTCTTGTTGCTTTTGGGAGTGTTCCTTTCGGGAGGTGTGCGAGGAAACAACAGGATGTCAAATGCGGGCAAAGGGACGAAGGCTGCCACCAGCGTCCCACCCGCGCTCCGCGAAGGCCTCCAGATTTGCCACGGCCCATGGACATCTCCCGATGCCGCTGGGACGCTTTGCAACTCTGGCAGGGGGAATTTGGCAGCCTGGTACTTTACAATGGCCTGGATCCGCAAAGTTGGGAAATTAGTTACGTCACGGTTCAGAATGGAGGGTTGGTCGTCCAGAATGCTGGAGCCCTCTTTGCCAACCGGGTGCTTTCTGCTGCAGGTCTGCTTGGTGCTCTTTGCGTGCACATCTGGATCGCATTGCCATGGCCAGCAACTTGCCACCAAATCTGAGCAGACAAACCGAAGCTACAAAAGAGAGATGTAACCCTCTTCGGAAATGTTCAACTCAGTTCGGATGGCTCACAGAGCTGCGAAGGATGTCTTCACCCTCACCAAACTGATAATTGACACTGCCAACATTTCAAAGAGCGGGCCGCGTACCCCTACTTTAAACTATACACACTTCATACTCTCACAACATTTGTCTGTAGTAATTCATGGCCACCTGTTTCAACCAACCCCGCAATAGCGAGGAATGCCCGAGATTCTTAGGACTGAGCCGGGACTGGATCCCAACACCTTTGTGCCTCAACCACCCCGATATGACCAACGGCCTTTGTGGACTTCTTCTAGAGAAACCACTGCGAGGATCAAATAAATCAAGAGAGAGAACAATCAAGGGCGCGCAGGTTCAACTTTGTGGCCCTTTTGCTTTTCCAGCACAAGTCCCGTGAACCGCCTTCGGTCAATCCGTGCAAATCTCGTGCACTCGTTTCTGGCCACGTGCGTCCGACTTTGGCGAGAAGCTTCGGAAGTGCAGCTACCTCGGGCATCGATCTGCTTCAGCTCACTGCGTCCCCTTCCTCCCACTAGACTTCATGCAATTGACCTTCCCTTTGACAACATCGCTTCGCCAAACTGGAAATGATTGCCGGAATCTGCCCATGAGCCTGGCTACCAGACTTTCTGCTTGACCTCGTCTTAGAATCCTGGGGCAGTCCAAAGACGTCCTGCTAAATACCTCAATGTGACCCAAGGTGCCACTTGTTGGGCCCGGTTCATTGTGACTTGCCGCAGGGCAGCAGTCACAAAGGTGGACCTTTTTGGTGGCCATGATTAAACATAAAAGTGCAACACACAAAGCAAAACAAAGGGTAGCCAGTGAACAAGTGAGCAGGCTGGTCGGCCTGCCATCATCCGGCCACAGGTCTACAAAACTGGGACACCACACAAAAACAACACATGACAGTGGCGATCCGGACAACTTGGGACATGTTCATGTCTGATGGCATCCCGCGCGGGAAACAGGGTCAATTAGCACGCAGTTGTCAGCGGGGACGAGGGGCAAACACACATTGATCCTGCTGCGGCTTCCTCTGGTCAACGGGTCAACTACTCCAGGAAGTAGCGGAATGAAATAGCAACCCCTAGTTACACCGACAATAATAGCCCCCTGCAAACCTTTTTGCTCAGCGTTCCCAACCAGTTTTCAGTCTCCAACCAAGAAACACGGAAGTGCACAAGACTCTTCTTTGCAAAAGGAATGTGGAAGGGTACATGGCAGGGAGAACCTAGATAGCTGAACAGGGTTCCTTAAAGGATAAATCCCAAACCACCTGCTTTAAAAGGGGGTCCTCTAACCAGCTTGAAACCTGTGCTTTTTGACTGGCCCACATGCACCCTTGAGGGGCTCTGATGAACAGGAGCAAACGCCTGAGAGCATGGCTTGGTCGCCTCATCCGTGAGGCTGCGCAGGAGTGCCTCAACAGCCTCGCAGGGCGCTAGGCACTTGCCTCACTTGGGCCAAACATTCAAAAAACTTTCTCACCGGCAAACAATATGGCTATCGGCCCTTGAGTAAGCGATTGGCGGCCGGAAACATAGAGGATCCAGATTTGGTATCTAAACGAAGTGTCCACCTGTGAGTGGCTTCATACAGCACCCAGCTTTGTGCCACCTGTCAAGAGGCTGAAGGCGTCCTTTGGCGCCCAGTGGGCCCCCATTTTTAGAGCTCCAATTTGCACCAAGCGGTTCCCAAATGTCAGCACTACCGTCCGAAGCCCAGTCAGAATATCATGGAGGTTCATGTCAGAGCTGCTTTATGTCTGAGGTCACTGGCAAGCCACCCTCATGAGGTGGCTGGATGGTTCTCCCACGCTCCTCCATACCCTGGTGATGCTTTCTAGTCCAAAAGGCACGATTTTTAGCGCCCGCGTTTGACATCGGCAACTTGCTGCTTTTGAAGGGGAACTCCAGAGGCTCCAAACACATTGAGAGCAGCTCGTTTTGCCCTTCGCGTTTAACTGACGCTGACCGTTGGACCGGCGAGAGTAACTTCACGACAGAGGTTTCCCGAATATCGAATTCAGCTATTTCTCACACACCCCCCCCCTCCCCGAGCATGGGCCCCTCTCAGGATTGATAAATTCCGATAGAGTTAATTGTTGTGCACTCTTAAGCCCTGTTCTATTTGCACACTTTGCGGAACAATAATTGCGCCATCTACTTTCACCCAACCGTACCTCGAAAAGCGGCTTGTTTCTCGTGAAATACCTAGTCGTCAGACAGTCAGCCCCGCTCCTCAGGCGGCGCGTCTGGTACCAGTGCAGCCTGCCAATGACAGCGAAGCATGAGTAATAACCCGTCCCCCCCTAAAGCAGGTTGGTTGATCTCAGAGGTAACCAAAAAGTAGCCATTTGTGGAAAGCATCAAAGCAAATATGTTTGAACGAAAAGGACATGTCACCCTTGCATTGCGCTTCGCGCGATACAGTGAATCTAAGGTTGAAGAGGGGAACCTGCTGAGGGCCAAGGATCACTAAGGCGGTGCGAGCTTGGTGTAGGCTGCCTTAGTTTGCGATTGGTTCATGAACTGCTAAATGCTTTGGCCAGGGTTGAGGCCATATCTTGGGCAAGAAGGTTCGAAGTGGACGCTCGGTCCGTCAGACTTAGAACTAGTCATATGCACCTGAATTCGAGGCTACTGTTGCATCTGAATGATGAAAGCAAATGGCTGGCAAGCACTTCAAGGCAGCTCCAATCGATGCGAAACCCACCCCAAACCCCCCCCAACCCCCCAAAACCCCTCCCCAAAACCCCTCCCCCAAAACCCCCCCCAAACCACGCCAAACCCGGCCAAACCCCGCCGAACCCCGCCAAACCCCCCCAAGTCCTGCAAGCTCGTCAAAACTCACTGACCTTTAAAGGAAGCGCTGAAATTGAGAAGCTTCTTCATGGGCATGCGGTCGTCTGTTCCACTTGGCCAATGGCTATGTTGCACCGCTCAGGGAACTGCACGATTAGATTCCCCGCCCACTTCCAGTGGCCATTCCATTCCGATAGCAGTTTGCGGGCGGAGAAACCATTGACAGAAGCTTGAAAAAAGAAACATCTGTATCTACATATATTTATATATAGACATATCAATGTGTATATATCATAAGTATACACATATAGATATCTGTATGTGTGAATGACACGGTTTGACAACAGCAGTTTTGGCCGAAGGCAAATCACTACGTGCCCCTGAGGCATGTGCTGGGCATGTGGGGCGTTTAGCTAGGCCAAAGGCCCGAGAGTAAACACCAATGGTCTTCTTTGGAATCCTTGGGTTGGCGAGACTTGCGCGCGCCGAAAAGGACACAGGGCCTTCAAGTCTATCATGTTGTGACACCAAATGAGTTCCCCTGGCCAAAGGGGGTCGTAAAGTCTGCTTCAGCAAGTGAAACTGTAATGCAAGACTTGTTCTAAGGAAAAGTCCACTCGAAGCAGTGGAAAAACACCGTGGAAACTTGAGGAATAGGGAGGGCTTTGCCAGGGTTGAATTTGGCTAAATGCGAGCCAATACCTTGGACAAACTACGTACCCTACTCCCAAATCACAAATAAGGAATCCCCATGCAAGGGACCTTCATCTTGGGTGTGCTTGGTTTACCCCACGCAAGCTCTTCAACCTTAGAACAGCAAAGCTGTGCGCGAGAGCCAAGGAAAGCAGCATCTATCAACAGGGGATAAGTTTGCTTTGTGTTACTTCAAATCTTGAAAGCTGGTAGCAACCCCTGTCAAACCATCGCCCTTTACCCCGTGCAACACGGGGTGAGGTTTAACCATGGTTCGAACAAGGAAAGTAAGGGCGCCCTGGTAGCCAGCACAAACACAGTCGCGGCGACAAAGACTCGGCCTGCAGCTTCCCGCATCGCCGCTCAGCATCGAAGCCTTTCAGCGACACCTATCGTGCAGCTTATCGGGTATCTGTTTCCCACCCGCGTGGGTACGTCTCGAAACGGGAGGGAGCCTTGGCACAACGGCGCAACAGCGCAACATGTCAACCATACTGGCGTCACTGATCTGCTACGGGGTTCATGCGGCTGTCCTCGTAAGGAATAATGCTGAACGATTGCTGCATGGCTAACAGGTCAACGTAAAGGAGATGACAAAGTTTGAAGACGTGTCCTTTTCTTCGTGTCTTCCTTAAAGGGAACTTGTGAACAAAAAGCTGTATGCAGCTTTGACTCGGCCAACACACCGAAACAAAGCGAGGCCACCTGCGGTCCGGAACATACCGCCAGCGAGCCTTTGGTTCAAACCCCAAAGCTTTAAACATGCTTAGTTTGCTTCCCGCAAACAGTGCCAGCCAAATTCATGTGATCAATAAAACTCAATGAAGCAACAATGTTTTAGTTTCCTGCCAGTGTCATATGTCAAAGCTTGAAGGCTTGGCCTCAAACAAAGTTTGAGGTGCGGAGCTTGAAGTTGCAACTGTGGGGCAGGATGCACGTTCTTCCCCTGGGTGTGGTGCCACCAGCGCATTCATCCTGGAACCTCCATCGTAGCATAAATTTCTGCCTCCCCCCTTGTTCGATACCAAAATTGACTCGACGTAGCACCTTTTGCCTCCCATTCGCTTCCGAGCGCTTTTTGACGATTCGGGCAAAAATCCCATTCGGCCGTGTTTTCTTCTTCCCCATGGTCAAGTTGCCGCCAAAACGGGCGCAAACATGTGCAAAAAAAGTGCAAAACGAGCGCAAATCGGCGCAAAAAAGCGCAAACGAGCGCAAATTCAAAAAATGCTACGAATCGCAGGTAACAAATTGCATTTGCGCGGATGTCTCGAGCACTTTCTGTTACAACGAGCGTTTTTTTGAGAAGAAAGTGTCACGAGCAAAAATATGTCGTAGCAAAAATTAAGGTAGCAATGGAGGCTCCTGGATGTTTTCAAATGCATCCGTGAAACTACGGTGCCTCTAAAGCAACTCGGACAATGAGAAACCAAATCGCCGTGAGAGAACGGAAGAACTAGTCAATGTCCTCCATCTGAAAGGCTTGCTGCACCAAAAGCCATCAATTCCCTACAAAGCAAAGTACATATGACAAATGTTTGTGTGGCTACTCTAGAGGAAGCGCATAAAAGGTATCCCGGATATGCCACATTCTTCACGACCAGTCTGTCAGGCCTGCGGGGACAAGGTCTTGGTAGCCTCGGGTCAGAGGCATTGCAACACCCACTGTGGTTGCTACCTCCATATCTCCATGACAAAGCGTCACGGTCATTGTGGTTCATTTCAGCAGGGTATGATCCGGCGGGCCGAACCTGAGAAACTGCACCGTGTCTCACACGGGAAGGGTTGAAGGCTAGAAATCAAACTGCAATGGAACCAAGGACTCAAACCTGCGGAACGTTGGTGGCTGAATTTTGACCCATATCTAGGCGCTAACTTCTTGCAGCAAGTTGCCAGGAGGCATTGGCTCACTTGCCAGCAGCAACCAAGGCTCACATTCGCAACCTTTCAGCAATAAAGTGCAACAAGTACATTTGGGTCCTTCCACTGGCAGGACTTTAGGGGGCGATCCACTGGAGGCTTTGACAGTGGGAAAGCCATAGCATGGGGACGTGGTTCCAGCTGGTCCAAGAAAGATTTTGCCATGGCGGGTGTCCTAGATAGGGGATTGCAAAGCCAGATCGCTGGATTGATGTTGCTTCCATTTCAATGCCACCGTTTTGCTTTGCATTCCAACGAATGCCCACATGTTCATGCATGAATCATGTTTAAAGCAAATGAGTGGCAATGACAGCCGAGTGACGCTCCCGATGGGCAGACCAAGCTGCACTTCGCAACTTGTGCGTTCTTCTGGACTCCAAGCGACCCAAGACCTCTTACAAGTTGCCCAAAGCACCTGACAGAAACTGGTTGAGCTGTTTGGGATATGACATCATGGACCAACAGTAAGAAAAGTTGATTCGCATTGGGCTGGTTGGTCTTGCAAAGCTGGGTGTAAACACAAGGATATACAACTGGCAGTACGAAGAACATCATGAGTAACCATCTGGGCATGCTCTAAATAGGGAGCCGGAAAAACGGTTGGTTTCTCCGCTTCCTTTGAAAAGCAACCGTCCAAAAGAGGCATGTCGTATCAGAAAGAGGCACATCTTCCAGATATGCTGAAGTTGCCATCAAACATCTACATACATGTTTGTATACCAATATCTACTATTCATGAATTTCCCTTTCAAACCAGCCAGCGAAAAAACGGAGCTATGCATCTTCCACTGCCCGCAGCCACCGCTCGTTGCGTCCTTTTTGCACCGCAGGATCGGCGTGGGAGTTGCCAGTCGGTGGGTAGTAAGCCTGCGCGGGGCACTCCCAAGTGGGCTGAGCATCACGGATCAGCGGCAGTTTCTGTATGTTTGATAGGACCTGATTGAGTCCCTGGATGGACGGTGGGGCGCCAGGACTCCATTGGGGGTACCGATGGGAAGTTGTCTGCACGAAAGGAAATCATGGGAACTTAATCTCGCTGCTGAAGTCACTAGCCAGAACATGTCAGAATCTGGGGTGATTGATGAACCCTTTCCCTTCCCCACACATTAAGCCGACGCACAACTCGCTAAACAAAACACTTCCTGCAACATTGCCCAAAGGTCGAATTGCCCCTTGACGCTGGCTGCCCCCGACTACAACTACCGCTAACAGCTGCATTTAGGGTCTGAGGGAGTCGTGGCACCATACACATGACAAAACACATGTGAAGTCACGGGACTTACAGAGAGAAACAAAGTCACCAAGTTAGCAAGCCAAACTTGCGCCCGTGTTGACATGGCTGTAAACACTTGTGCTAACATAAAACTGCAAATTGCCATGGCTGTGTCACACAAGGAGACTCTTAGGTACCGTAGAACGTGGTCCCAAAATGCAAGCTCTCCTCACAAATTGAGGAATCTTTCCATACATGGGGCATATTGTCAATGCCAGGCGGCCCCAAGAACATCCACTCATGTCTCCTATGAATTTCATTGATTGCTCCTTTGTTAGGCTTCCCGTTGCTTCTCGAGCCTAGGAGCGGGCTTCCCAAAGCAATGCCACAACCAATGGGTACAGCTACCGCAAAATTGGCTCCGAGGCGCCAACCAGGGGTTCCCACAAGCAATGGCCCGGTTTGGCAAAACCGATTGCTTGAACACGCAGTGGTTTCGTGCATGCAACTTTCACCTTGCTATGGTTGCATCCTCAGCTTTACAACTACCTCGTCCTAGCTTCAGCCGCCCGTGCATATATGTATATGTTGATATAACTATACAGAATCCTGTACACTAGTTTCTATATTTACTGATTGAACATGTTGTTTTGAACAAGCCACTTTACTCGAGGATAATTCTGGATGGCGATTCGGAAATGGGGAGGCATGACATGAAAGCTTGTCCGGGGAAAAGGTAGCACGCTGGAGGGGCGGGCAGCACTGGCCCAGCGCAACCGAATACTAAAGAAGCAGAACTATGTAAAGCAATACTGCAGAGGACCCCACTGGCTGACTGCTTGAGCAGGTCTTAGGTTCCTCTCGATGGAGCCCCCCCCCGCCCCCTGCCCTTTGCCAATCACCATGGGGACCGTGGTTTATTACGAAACCAGACAACAGCAAGTGTTAGACGCCCCGCACTATTAGGACACACACCCACACGTGTTTGTTATTTAAGTTGGTCATGGAAAAACCGTCAGTTTGGGAGGTGCCCGATTTGGCGCCCCCTGGCCTCCCTCACTGCGCCAGCCAAGCTCCGGCCACCAGCGCCAGCGCCAAAAACCCGCGCGCTTCGAAGGCGGCGCTGCGCTCCGCCCACGAGGGCCCGGTGGTGGGGTAGATCAACAGATCTTGATCTGCGTCTGGCGTGGGTCCGGGGGTGTCTGGGGTTCTCAGAAAGTCAAGTGGGTGTTTTCCCTTTATGCCAGCACTTGATGACTTGCCATAGCGACTTGCCACATTTGGGGAAGCCGACTAGGCTTTCCCTTGCAAGTCTCTGCCACCGATGGTAGACCAGCAACAAGCAAGTTAAGACGAAGCAGATGCTTGCTGCTTCCTGCTTGGCTTGTCACAAAAACACGCGTCCAATCAACAGCAAAACTCAAAAGGGCCCTAGTCACAACTCATGTCCTGCAACATATTCCAGCTCACTTGCTCATATACACGTAACCATTGCAACGAAATATCAACAAGTTGACTGCGCTTGGACCAAGGAAACAGTGCCAAATCACGCAGTATTGTTTGATGCTGCTAAGCTGAAAGTTCTTCGGCCGACCCTCTTTGTCATCTTTGCCACTGCCATTTAGCCAAGAAAGGAAGCGCCCACATCTCCAGTTCGCCCAGGAGGAAGGAAGCAAAATGGCGCAGTTTCCAAGGAAAGAAACGGGGAAACACCCTGGTACTGTTCAAACTTTGGGATATCTTCTGCTGCACCGTGTTGAAAGAGAGACAACAACGGAAACCAACACCCAGTTGCCCCGACCCTGGTAGAAAAAGGGAATTCCCTCTTGGGGCGGACAAAGGAGACAGCGTGCATTGGCCATACTACATGCAGTGGGTAACAGGGTGAGCCCATTTATTGTGGGGATCCCACCGAACAAAGGAAACTGAGAGCCGGAGTCTGCGCTCGAGTCGGGTCGACTCAACCGCGCCTTGCTCGCCCTCTGCGCCGGTGCGGAGAACCAGGTAGCCTCCGGTTTGAGAAATCAGCCACGAACACGCTCCATATCATGCGTCCTAAGTGGAGATCAACATGCGGGGGCAATTTGACAGACCTGACCTTCATTTTCTGCAGCTACCCTCTGGACCCCTTGCTGTACATTGACCAATGGGGGCAGTGGCTGCATGGATAGCTGTGGCCCAAGTCACTGAAGAGCATAGCTTCCGGAGAAACCAAAACAAGAAGTGACGTGAAATCACCTAAAACATGAGGGTGACTCTAGCAGGGTTCTGACAAATAAGTTCTAACATGTTCTAACAACTAGGTTACCCCCGTAGAGGCTCCAGACAAGGTTGAACCCCCCCGCCATTTTATCAGACAACATAGGGTTAGTCCATCCTTATTGTAAAATCAAATGAAATAGTCCAACTTTGACAGAAAATAAATTGACAAATCAATTTATGTTGACCTCATTTTGGGGGTTTGGTTTGAACCGTCCAAGTTGGACAAAACGTATATACTTCATTTTCATCTTTGGATGAAAATATAGTCAGGGGGGTCCAACTCATGTTTATTTTGCACACCTGCTTTTTCACAAAATAAAGTCGGGGGGGTTCAACTCGGATGGTTGTTTTGGGCTCACAAAGGTTTCCTTGAAATCGCCATGGTTTCCGCAAGGTTTTGAACTAGATGTTGGTCTTGTGTTTCTCAAAATTGGATTCGGACCGAATCCTCCAGGCAGGCTTCAGTTTCCTTTTGGTTTCAAACAGCAAATACGAAGCAACACTGAATATAGTTAGACTTCAACAAAATGCCATGTTCAGAATGTAGTTGCCGCAATCCAACATGTTCCAGGCCTTGAATGGACTTGGGGAAGAAGAAAAAAAACGCGGAAAACGCGGGTTGCCTCATGTTGATTTGAAATGAGGTCAGTCCAACTTTGGCTGTCCCCAGGAAAACACCCACCAGGGGGTTGGATCGGATCCTACGCGCTGTAGATTAAGCAATCCGGTTAGCAAAGGCACATGATTGAGAGCCCAAAGTACAAAATGTTCTTCTCCCAATGAAAAAAAATCGGATAAATTCGTAGTAGCAAAAGCCTCGTCGTGTATCCGACAAGCGCCTTCTATTTCCTTATGCCGCCTTGTATTTCCTTTTCCAGCGCCTTCTATTTCCTTTTGCGACGCTTTTTATTTCCTTCTACAGCGCCTTCTATTTCCTTCTGCAAAGCAAATCATTTTCTTCTACAGAGGCTTGCCCCGATTCCGATTGCCGCCAAAGGAGCTCTCGCCATCCACGACTTGCAAGGGCCTCCGCAAAGAGCCTGCCGAGCCGTCGCTGAGGACGACCTGTCATTGCAGGTGTGGCGGGTTTACATGGCAACCCACAGAAAATCTTCAGAAACCTCCCATCCACCAACATGGAACCTGACTTGGGGGTGCTGGAAACCAATGTGCGGACCCTCTGGTTGTTTTGCTCCCCGCAAACGTCTTCTGTCCAAGGGTCAGGGAGACCAGGCTCAAACATCATGTGCTCAAACAGGAGAAAGCAGCCCTTCGATTTTGGAAAGGACCTGCGCTCACTGGAAAGCTCATCCGCCCGCCTGGTAGCTGCCGTTGGCCAGGCCAAAGGCGGTGCCGAAAGGCAACACGGTGCCCTCCCAGGCTCCTGGCGGAAAGCTTCCCGAGTCTTGGGCTGCGGGAAAGCAGCGCCACAGCCACCGCCCTCACCAACAACCACCCACCAGCCCAACCAAACCAAATAAAGCAAGCAAACACAAACAGAAGAGAATGCATAAAAGACAGGTGCTTGAGCGAAAGACATACCGTATACCATAACGTACTTGTGTCACTCTGTGGCTTGCTTCAGGGGAACGAACCGTGAGTTGGACTGATTTGCGCGCCCCGGCATCCCGTGGGTTCCCGACGGATTTCCACAATGGCGCCGATGCCTGTAGAGTTGGCCAGCAGCAGGGCAGCTTTGTCCCGGCCCACGTAGCTGTCCATCACCGCAATCTGGGCGTTCCTGCACAAAGCGCTCAGAGCGCGTCTCCAGCAATGTGTTTCTTTGCTTGGAAAAAGGGGGTCCTATGGACGAACCACATCCACAAAACGCAAAACCTGATCTGGCGGCATGGACATCTTTTAAGGGTTTCTCCAACCACAGGGTTTTTCAAGAAGGACGCTGACTGGCTTCTCATCAGCACAAGAACCTGATTCATGCGAAACAGAAACTGACCACACGTATGTTGTCAGCTGCAATTTGAGCAACATAACATGTAAACAAGGCTTATGCGAGGCCAAAGCTTCTGTGCGTTTTGCGAATTCCCTTGCATTTGCCCAAGGTGCAACCAACTCAAACAATGAGCAAAAGAACCAACACAAAAACTCGGCACATATCAAACACTGGAGGTTCAGCGCGCCTGGCCGATGCGAAGATGTGTGACTGAAAGGACACTGCATCCGTGGCATCCCGGCGCTGCACCTCGGCGACTCGCCGGGGACGGGCAAAACAGACCGGGCGTGCCAACAGTCAAGTGTTCCCCTCCAGAAAAAGGTCGCCTGAAATGGCATTCCCAAGCAAGTGCTAAGTCTGAACATTTGGGAACTAAGAATCTATAGGAAAGAATCAGTACAGGGAATTTGCGTGTTTCCAGGCGGGGCTTTGACGATGGACCTGCGAGTCGCTACCCCATCAGGTGAATGACGACCAATCAGAACAGAATAGGCGGGAGGACCAAGCTGATAAGTGGCAAGTTCTGCCCCAGTTGACCTCCACTGAAACCCCGGTATACCCTTACAAATGAAATAGCAACACTTGTTTGCGTCTTTCAAGGGAAGCAAAAAGAAGCTAACATGATTGAATACATCTTTGAGCAATTGGTGGCCCCTAGCATAGAAGCATCATCGCCCCACTGCGAATGGTTGTAAACACAAGTGCTGTTAGAAATAAGCACCCTCACAATAGGCCATCTCATTCATGCACTGATCTTTTAGGAAACCGTGGTATCCAATGCCTATAAGCTCTGGCTTGGAGTTGTATTGTTGCACAGCAAGCTGCTTTCTTGGCGTATCGTGCTGCTAGTGTGAACCGCTTGCCCTGCGGACTCTTGGAATGCACGTGCTTGTTTTCACGACTGGGAAGAGGAAAGCCAGCTGGGGCACAATGTGAACAAAGGTGACGAGGGGCCTGCCTAGGTGCACCAACTCCGGGCATGCTTCAGATTGCCCCCCCACACACACCCCCCGCCACTGAACTCCAATCTGAGGGAGTTCCATGTTCGTGGGAGGGCGAGCGACCTCCTAGATCCATAGCCACACCTGGAACAAGACTGGACGAAACAGAAAGCAACGGGTCAACAGGTTGGCTTTGGCCACATGAGCCTCACGCCAAACTCAAGTTCGCACATAGTACATTTCAACTTTGCCTTGGCACATTGGGAACATCCCTGTACATTCCTGCTTTGCCTGCTGGCCAGCCAGTGGGCCCAAAAGCTGATTCCTTTGCAGGGAGAACAGCCGGATGCGGTTTTCAATATGCCTCCTTCAGATTTATCCATGGATCAAGGCGCCAAAAGGGAAACTGCATGCCTGTGATTGAACTGCAATGAGCTTTTGGCCCCGAATAGAGCAGTCCGCAGCAATCACAAATGTACCAAGACGAAATTATGTAGCCCGTCCTCAGCTCTGATTTGCGTGAAGTACCCACTGTTGGTATACGCGTGCGGCACGCTACCAAAGACGGGAAGTAGGACAAAGTGGCCCCTTCAAGGATCCGCACTCCAGCCTATACATCAACTACTCCAAAGCCGAGCCGCGACCACATACAGCATGGCGTTGTACCTAACTTGCTCTAGGCAGCTCAGAGAGATCCGAATGGTTTCCCCGTGTCCTTTAAAGTAACACCCTCAAAGACTTCCCATCAAATGGTGGTGACAAGGACATCCAATGACAAATGGTGGTGACAAGGACATCCAATGACATCCAATGACATCCAATGACATCCAATGACATCCAATGACATCCAATGACATCCAATGACATCCACACACAGCAGTATTTTGTCGGCGGGTGTGCAAAGTTGGCAACCAAAGGACATGGAATCTGCAAGAAAGTCGTATCCCCAGAAACTTTCACGACAGGGTTCTCTGCAACATTGACAAAAACACAGCCAGCGTATGCTAGTGTGGTGATGCTTAACATGCTCAAGACGACCTGACAAGGTAGTATGAAGACACCTGCACCTCGCAAACCACCACCCCTCCTCCCCGGTACAGGGCATGGCCAAGCAAGGGCCAAATTGGACCTGAGTGATTGCTCTGGTTTCTGTGGGATTCCGGTTGCATGAGGCTCATGGGAGAGCGAGCTTTCGAGTTTGGCGCACCTGCTACCTACAGCGACTTTGAGGCGGATTCTCCTGAGCGCGTGCAAACCAGATTCTGTGAGCATGTTTGTTGACCAGCATTGTTCTTTCCAGGAAGCATTGAACATTCACGGGCCACAGTAGGCTTGGAGGGTGAGGCAGGCGATGTGAGCAACCTCTATGACTCTATGCTTGCTCATTTGGACGTAGAGAAATGAAACAACAAACATCCACGCGCCTGCGCGGCGGGTGCTTCCTACGTGAGAGGACCCCTCTTGTCTGTTTGGGCCCACCCACAAGGCGGTCTCCCATGCTGGCACCACGAACATTGTTCTGCGTGTTGTCCGGGATTCTCGGTAAGAAGGCTGCGTCACAGATCAGAACACCCCACACGCGACCCCAGTGAGAAGAGCAAACCCACAACATCCAGGATGACCTGAAGACGCAAATCAACTGCACTTGCGCGCTTGGTCCTTGCGAAGGAAAAGCGGGACACAACATCAAAATAGATCAAATGAGTTCCTTTTAGAACGAATTAGTCGGGGAACAAGGTGAAATCCCACGGTGTAATACCTTTTCCCTCTGAAACATCTTTCTGGCCCTTCGCCTGCTGGTGAATGTCTCGGAAACCAAAACTCTGCGTCCCTTCTTGCCTTGCGCGCCGAGTGTCTGGGGAAGCGAATCGATGGTAAAGGTGCCCATCCTCGGTCAAGAGCGGCGAACAGCAACCAAACCGCACAGGCAACGATTCCTATCAAGTGCCTTTTTAGGTACTGCAGACATGGGAAGTGGAAAAACTAAAAAACATACCGACCTTCTAGCCCCATATCTGACATGGCCTGTTGACGTCCCAAATGGTTGGCTGGGTTGTGAGGTGCTCCTTGTGCCCCGGTTGATGGGTACAGATATTCATTTATACACCTGTCTTGGCAACTCGAAACATGTTCACCTAACGTCTGCCAAGCTGTGCAAAACCAACCTACGTTCAATCAAATGCTAACCATTAAATACAACGGACGAAATGAAGACACATGCTTCAGTCCAATAACATGTTCATGCCCACAAGCTGAGGCGTTATCCAAATGACTGCACACTTTGCGCTGGCGAGACTCTACAAGCCGTCTTTGGGCACTGCGGAGCTCTCCATTGGCCCATTGGTTTAGTCAGAAGGGTTCGTGATGCCATGATTGTCATCTAAAACTGACTCAAGCTAGCGCTCTGGAAACAGCACAAAAAAGGGCGCCCTCATGCTTCCCTCATTCTCTGTCATTTTGGCACATCCGCCCTGATGATGAAGCTGTTGGGAACTGAAATAGGGTGTTCCCAAAAAGAAGACCCTCCGAAAAAGGGGACCCTCCCAAATGTTTATTCACCTGCTGGAGGTGGACCTTCAACTTCCTGCAGGGAACCTGAAGAGCCTTGGAAACTAAACTTGCCTAAAGCGACCTTCTGGTTCCATGGCAACGACCTTGATAAGTCTGTCATCCAGCTTGCCAATGTAACGGTAGAATTTGCGGAACAACACTCTTCCCCCGGCACTCCACGGTTGACTTCCGGGGATCGATCCGAAGTCAGCTCCCCATCTCCAAAAAGACAATGTGGGTTGAGATGAATACCTTGTTCAATCATGGCTACACTAACAGAAAGATCAAACTGCTGATTCTGCAAACGTCGGCTTTGGGCAACTGAGTTCAACTACAACCTTGTTGCTTTTCCTTCAAAGGAAAAGCAACAGGTCTCTTTGCTTACACTCACTCTTCTTACCTGCAGTTACCTCCGTGAGGTTTCCGAGGCGCGGCAAGCCGTCTGCGTGGAAGTTCAGGTGGTCCCCGGGTGCCAAAGGCTCCGTGAGGTTGGCGTCTCCGCACTCCTGGGAAAAGCGTCGGGTGCCAAAGAAGGGTTGGACAAATCAAAGAATTACCCATGTTTCCCTTCCCTGTTGGCGTTTCGTTGGGAAATCAGAACATATGGGCTCATTAATTGGCACCCTGTCAGGTCTTCGGCCCTTTGAAAGCTGGAGGCAGTGGCGCTTTTTTGTAAAGGAAGACCGTTTGACAATTCGATTCGAAGAGGGACAAATATCGAAAGAGTGCTTTTCCGGACTAGAGGAAAAAAGGGAGCCACTGAAAACATGTAGTTCTAGACGGAGGGGTCCCTTTACTATCCGGCGTGGCCTTTGGTTTTTCGCTGCTCGACCAGGGGCAACACCTCTTAAGAATGAGCTTGGCTTTGAATGTGGTGCCAATTGAAGCAGAGGAGCGGAACAACACGTGCACATTCCATCCGGTGCGTCTTCAAGTGGGGGAACACCATTCAACAGGGTTTGGACACATGCTGGTAGCATCGCAAAACGGGCTCCAAGATCTCGTCTCAGGACAAAGACGGAATGGAAACCCCAAGATCCCATCCTCTGATGCGATGGATTCGGCCAAAGAGAGCTCGCCCTCTGCACTAAAAGAACTGGTCCCACATGGTGTCCCAGACCCATGCCGCGATTGGAGGCCTGCCCGGCTTCAACAAAAACATTATATTGCTTGACAAGCAAAATGTATTCAGTCCACACCCCGAGCAGTACAGCCAAGCGGTCGTGCAACAAAAAGGGGGCACCATTTAGATTTGGCTGGATTTTTCGGGCAGGCCACCCACAACCCAAAAGGGACAGTATGCTTCCAGTGGGAACTGAGTCATACTGCCTGGTAGCTCCTCCCACCCGAGCTTTGGAAAGGAGGCCTTCATCAAGCGACTGACAACGAGCATCATAAATTTCAATGAACAAGTTGGAGTCTGAAGAAAACCAAGTCAATCGCCTTGGCCTTTGAGGAATCTCTGTGCTTTGCATTGCTGCAGTCTCCTTGTACTTGAGCGAGTCTTTGGCAGTCAGCATCACCCCGTCCCTCTCCACGTGGAAAACCTTGCAAAAGGTCTTCAGGCAGCAGCTCATCAGCCGATCATATTCAAATGTTCGCGGCCCTCCCAAGAAAAACATCCTTGACTAAAGGCAAGGCAAGAGGAAACGCAGCCGTTTCTGTAAGGCGCCGCAGCGTTGGAACATCTACATCTTTGTATATAGGCATAGTACGCCTTTTAGAAAATGTTGAAACCCAACAAATGGCTAATTGGCTGATTGACCGTGGCTTGCCTTTGAAGGAACCCCAACTTGGACAAGCGACAATGGTGTTTTGGCCGAAGTGTGCTCGTGCAAGCGATTTTCAAGACACTGGACTCTTCTACTGTCTGCGGTTCCCGCGCGGCCCTGCTGGGATCGGCGTGGTCGATGTGCAACAACGGGAGTGTGTTGCAACTCTTTGCGTTACTTGCGTGGAGAACAACCTTTCATTGAGAACGATGTGCCAAAGCAACTCGCAAAGATATAGTTATGCAGAGAGCTTGCGCGGAGAAATTTGCACAGAACACATGCACAAAGAGCTCACCCAAAGAACTTGCTCCAATAGCTTGCCCAGAAAGACCCGCGTCGAGGACTTGGGTAAACAAAGTTGAGCCAGGAACTTCTAGCCGGGAACTTGCACAGAGACCTTGCTCAAATAACTTGAGAGAACTTGCGCTGGTCAACTCAAGTTGTGCGCAAGAACATGTTAAGGGGGAACAATTCATCTTCAGAATCCTGAACCGTCTTGGGGGAGCGGTTCCTTTCATTAGGCCCCGCTTGGTTGGGAAGTTCTGTCCACCAGATTTACCAAAGGAGGTGTCCCACCTCTTTGAATCCGGAGAGTGCTGTCAGCCGTGGACATTAAACCAAATCCTTTTCAAGGGGTCCCCCACTTCAGGAAACACCCCGTGCATGGCAACAACTCCATATTCATGTCCGTATATGCCTTACATTACAATAAGGTTTTGGGCGCTGCTCAATTTTGTCGGCTTCTCCGGCCTCCTTGCCAGGGTAGGCATTGCACAAGCGCAGCTTCTGGTGGAACTGGATGGGCTTCAAGATGTGCGTGCCCTCAAGGGCTAAATTTCTGCGGGCAACCAAACGCAACGCTGTCTCTCAAAACTGAGGATCCCTGTGGGGACCAGTCACTATTCCAAAGCCCAATACATGCCAATATAAATTGAACTCATTCTGCCAATCCCGTGACCACGCACGCCCCTACCTCAAAGACTTTCGAACATAGCGCAGCTGCTTATTTCAGGATATATAGTTCAGCGTTGTACATGAACTGCATATCGTATTCGCGTATGTGCTGTATCCACTGTGGCTGGTAAGCTTCAGAAGGGGGTGGCTTGCATGGAATTAAACCCTGGATCAATGTTATTGGCGTGCCGCTTCGAGGCACTCTAGTTTGACGCAAGCGCGTGGTTGGCCATGCTTGGCTTGCTTTGGGTGGCCCTTTGAAAACAACCAAAGGGGTTGGCGGGCATTATTCGAGAGAGGACTCTGTCACATATCCTCCACATAATGCTTCTCATGCTGGGGCCTGCAGCAGGTTTGGCAATCTCAATGTTCAACTGGGCACCCATTTTTCATTTGGGATGTCTGTCTTTTAGATTGTTTTTTTTTGCAGCAGCCTTCCAATTTTGCGCCCTTTGATACTTTATTTGGCTTAGTTGGGATTCGACGAAGGGTTGGTTTGGGGTGGGATTGGCGCGAGTTTTTGGCTGGTGTAGGGTCTGGTGTGGGCTTTCGGTGGAGCTTGCAAGGACAAACAAACATCCAGCAAGGGGTTCCCTGGGAGTCTTGTTCTTGAAGGCGTGCATGTTGTTTGGCAGCGCTCGGAGGTCTCAACCAATTACCTAGCCTTTGGACTTCTTGGCTCACGTGAGTCATCCAAACAACTTCGGATAGCTCAACTTCATCGGCCGTATCCGTCAAGCGCCTCATGGAACTTGGTAGCCTGGGATACGCAGAGCAGGGCCAAGAACAGGAAGGCCATGACGCCCTGCGCGGAATCCGTGCAAAAAGCAACAAGCTCAGCTTACATCTGATGCACATGTCTCTCTTTCTCTGCCGCTCTCTCTCTCTCTCTCTGTGCTGTGCAGAGGTGTGCATGCACACATTGAGCAAACTTGATCAACTCTGGGCAAATGTTGCGGAAGTAACGACAAGAGCAAGTGTGGGCGTTGAACGGCCGAGCTTTGCTATGGCAAGTTGCCCGGTACGAAGTACTGGTAAAAAAGGACTTTCAGGAGGCGTCTCAAAAGTTGCCAAAATGAGCATGGATTAATTACCAGCGACAGCGTGGCCGGGGGAGGTGGCGACCCAAATCCAATTCATGTAGAAAAGCATAGGCCTGTTCCATCCCTAGGGCTTCTCCAAGCAGAACAATATCGAAGCTGATTTCAGCCAGGTTCCTTTGCTTTGCCGAAAGCACCGGGAAATCGCTTGAGCTTCTTACCACGGGCCAAAACGGGACAAACCAAAAGTGGGCCAAATGGGGCAAACGCAAAGATCAAAAGATTCCAAAAGGTCGATTCGCCTTAGATGCTAGACCCCTATCGATCCCGCGTGTCAGACCGCGCCTTCCAAGCTTCAATGCAAACGGAGGCCAAGCGAGCAGCTGTGGCTACGGCTGCGGTTCCTAATTGACGTGTCCCGAAGCCCTTTGCTGGTGGTACCCTTTGTCGGTCGGAATGACAAGCTTTTTAGGGGCTGCAAACCATGAGACAAACTAGATTCAGGGAGGCCGCGGCTACCGGGTTTGTGCAGGTGTCGGCACCCCTTGACGCAAGCCCGTCCGCCTCTGCCAGTCCACAGAAACCTGCTTCAGGGGGTCCACGAGTGGTCCATGTGGCCCCAAAGGCGCATTGGGCAAAGGACTTAGCCTTCTCGCCAAGCATCCCCGACAACGACGCCACGTGGAAGAACTTTGTTCATTCGAGTGGCATTCTCAACATTATTACCCAGTAAATGGTTATATAGGGAAAAGGAAACTCCAGCCCCAATTCAATGACTATAAGTGACAATGCGCAACATGTTCATCCATGACTCCAACACAACGTGACCAAGACTGGAAGATCAAAGCCCAACCCTTTTTGGTGCAAGCATTGGGATCAAACGGCACTTACGAAACAGGGGAAGATACATTGTTCTACGAGCTATAGATCAGCGCCTGAGTTGGAGTTAGTTGAAGCCCGGCCGAGTGTCGGATCACGTGTGGTGTCCACTTCCATAACTAACCTGGGCTTCAACATTACCTGGCAAGGCGTCAGACACGGCCACTGGGAGAGCCTATCAAGGTCCAGCTCCACTCGTGAGGTGCCCGCCCAAAAGCCGAAGAGGAAGACTGTGAGCAGTGCGTCCTCGATGTCCTCCGCGTCAAGGCCTCGCTGACATGCTAGAGGGCTCTGCAACCACTTGGAACAAAACGTGGGCCTCTTTGGGGTTGATATTTGGTTTTTCGGGGGGGTTCCCCCACCAAACAACAAGGGAGAAGAGCTTGCCGGGATGCCTCTGCCACCAAACAGCTGATCGACTCGCGGGCTCGGATCAACCCTCCCGATGGTTTGGGACACCGGCCATAGACTAAGGTGTCCAAGGCCTCAGCGACGAGCCGCGAGCTCACGGCCAGGCAAAACCCTCGGGTCAGGTGGCAAGTCGCGGGAAAGCAATCGCCCGGAGAGCGTGAGAACGCGGTCGCATTCACAACCGGCCGCAAGCTGGCGCTGGCGAATGCAGTGTGGCCAACCTAGCTTTGCTCTACTTGTCAGAGCCCCTCGGTGAGCAGGAATCACCGGTTTGCCTGCATGCCCCTTTGGGGTAATCTTCGCACACAATGCCGCAACTCACCCTCCCGAAAGGCAAGGCTTGAAGCCAACATGCCACACTTAGGCGCTGGGGGGCATTCCGCAGCCATGACCGAGGGCACATACAGAAGCCAACATTTGAGACTGGACAAGGGGCCCTGAAGCATTCAGTTTTTGTTGTGCACCCCCAAACCCGATTTCGGAACCCATGAATTCAAATGGAAGAAAGAAGGTCATTTGAGGTGGAAGTTGACAAAATCAGGGCTCTGCTGGAAAGCTTGTGTGAGGAGTGGTTTGGTCGCATGCGGCGTCTTCTGGTAATCCAGGTGTCGAACAAGACTTCGAAGCTAAACGGCATTTAATCCCCAGCTGCATGTTGCTTGATTCACTATGTGTTGCAAATACACTGGCGAATACTCGTATGGTCCTTCACCTCAAATGGCACAGGACCGCGGCAAAGCTACCATGAACCATGGATGCTTTTGGTCGCCATCCCGACTGTCCAGTTCCATTCCCCCCATTCGACTGGGGCCGCCCGCGGAAAGCCACATGACCATGTCCTCGCGCCGGGGCCCGAAAGATATCCAGGGGAAAATCCTTGGAGAATTTGATTCCAACGCGGCGTGTTCACCATTCAATTGGGAGGTGCTGTGACTGTATGAACTTGCTGGGTTGGCAGGGAAGCGACAAATTGCGCTCTGAGCTCACGCCCACTTACAGCAAGCAGGAACAACAAACCAGCATATCACCAAAGCACCCAACAGTGTGACGGTTGTCCACCAAATGACTCAACCAACATACAGCCTTGCTGCTGTATATGCAGATCAAGCAATGCCTCAGTCGCCTCACCACTGTGATGCCAACCATTAGTCTGTTGAGGCCCTTACTCAAAATCGGCCCAGGCAAAATACTGGTTCTTGTTGGACGCGCACTCCCTCCCTATGCATTTGCTAGAGGCTGGGAACCTCAAGCGGCTTCCCACTAACCAAATGAAGTAATGTTGGGGGGGCGTTCTCAAATGCGGAATCGGTTTGCTAATGGCATTAGGAGGTTTCGAAGGACAACCAACCCAAACAAGCACTACAGCACCCGCCCATATAAGCCATGGACAAAAGTATGTCTTGACCCAAAAGGTGTGGACAAATTGAGTTCTGGTGCTATTTCATGTGGCAGACCTGGGTAGTCCGCCTCGACACTCCAGCCCTCGTGCGGACCAAGTTCATGGTTCCCTGACATGGGCAACCCTTGCGAGCACTGTCTGAAAGCACGCACGTTTGAAAGAGACAGTAGGCACTGATCAATTGTTCCAAGTCAGGCCCATACTCGCCAGAAAACCAATATGGAACCCCGCCCCAAAACCACTCATTTGCATAGGACCTTCTGTGTCGTGTGTGTTTGGGTGCGTGGGGAGCTTTTTGGCTTGGTTCCATGTTCATCTGAGGGGAGCAATCTTAAAGCACTCAAAGACGGCCAATCGGCAATAAGATTCACACGAAACCAATGCGCTTTGGAGAACAAAGGCCGTTTAGAAGTTCACACACTCACACACATACAGCGCCCTTTTGCAGGGGTCGGCTTCCAAGAGCAAGCAGGATACCTGGATCCTCCAAGGTGTGTTTTATTTTGTGCGTCCCATAGCCTCACTTCCTGACTTGATTGTCCGAAAGTTTTGGAGGCGTTCTCACACTGGGTCTGGCTCCTTCCGTGTCAGCCAGCCAGTCTGCGGGCGTAGTGACTGCTGCCTGTCCCGGGGTGAATTCACGCAGCACTCTTTATCCATTGACGATTGGCTCTTCATAGATCATGATTGGAGTGAGGAGCCACCAGTAGCATGCGATTGCTGACCCCGAGCATGCTCCAAACAACCACAGGCAGCACCCTTTACTCGCTTACCAACATGGCCAACAAGAATGTGGACGACCAATTGAGCTGTTAGGTGTTGCGTTGACTGTGTTTGCCCCTGTCTCCTTCAGGCAGAAGTGAGTTTAGCACTCAGGAGGCCCAACTACATGTCAAGCTGAGTTGGAAACACGCTTCTCTGACAGGGGAGCCTTCGTGAGCCATGCACGTCCAGCAAACCTAATACCCCAGCAAATCATTAAGATCTTAGTTTGATCAGTGCTCTCCAAAAAAGGTCTAAGGGGCAAAGCGTCACCCCTCATGTCATACTATTGCAAGAAATTGAAAAACAAATCCAAAGTCAACGTGATTGCCCGCCTTGCCAGCGTATCCGGCAAGCTGCACAGGCCCTCCGCCTGCACGATCCCTCAAACTATTCCGAGGTCCCGAAAGTACCAAGTGGCCAGCCGCAACGGCAGGCCCCAAGCTACTCCCGTTAGCCGTTAGCCTCCCAAAGCCCAAGGCACCGAGCAAATCCATCCCTCCGTTCGCTTTGGGGGAGTTGGCGAATAAAGCGTCAGCCTGGGATCGGCCCGTTGCCCCTTCGGGGGCCATTTTGTCAAAGCTAAGCCAGCGACAAAACGGATCGAAACGGGATATGGATTGATAGAACCAGAGGTTGGCGTATGATTGCGCTACATCTTGGCTCGCTAAAGCCAAAAATGGGCCGGGGGTCACATCTTGCAGGGTTGGCATCATGCAAGTGGATTGGTTCACAACAGCGACACTTGTTGCTTGCCACTAAACTCATCATCCCAAAAAAGGGGTTGCGGTTAAACGCCCATGAACTTGGACGCAAACACATGCAATGCACGCACACACCCACACACACGCATGCACCCCCACCAACCCACCCACCCACCCACCCACGCACGCACGCACGCACGCACGAACGCTTGCACGCACGCACGCACGCACGCACCCACGCACGCACCCACGCAGGCACGCAGACACGCAGGCACGCAGGCACGCAGGCACGCAGGCACGCAGGCACGCACGCACGCACGCGCACACACACACACACACACCGGGCAAACTCCGCAGCTGCTTTTCTTCGCTGAGGGCTTGCCGACATTTGCCGGTCAGCCGCGGGGAAACAGAATAAGACCAAAGACGCTGTGCTTGAGCTCACAAGCAATGGGGAGGAAAGCAAGATTGGAGTAGGGCAGCTTCTCTTACGAATCAACCTGGCCCTTGCAGGGCTCGCTTAGTCCGACACAGGTTCTACCATGCAGCGGTATGATGGCGCATGCAGATGTGTACACAACACCCCCTCCCTACACAAAAAAACAGTGCCAAGGAAATGGAACAAGGTCGATGTTCGTTCAAGAGATGCTAGCAATTTCATCTTTCCTCTTCAGCACAGATTCCGTGTGGCTCATCTCATTGTCCTCCCCTCAAGGCGGTGCCTCGATTCAAGTTCTGCGATTCCTTCGACTGGCCACACACAGCCCCACTCGATGCCAGGGCAACAGTGGGCAAATTAGGCTCGTGTGCGGCCCCTAAGTAGTCACCTTAGCCTTGCTTCACCAAAGCAAGAATTTTCTCCTTCTGGAAGATCCTCTTGCCGTCCCAATCTTTCTGATCAGCGCTGCTCTAGGACTCAGGACGTTGCGCAAAAAACAAGTTTGATTCTTACAGAGGGGTCCTGGGTTCACCACCCTGTAATGTCCCAACGGGGAACTATAATAGTAAACCTTCCTGTGTTTGGAAGTCGATGGCACTTGAGACTTTTGGACGCCTGTCAGCTGTCCACTGGGCAATGGCATCGGATTTCTGCAGTCAACATCAAGCACCGACCTCTCATGGTGACCGCCATCACCAAACACTAACAACGTATGACTGGCAAGCTTGAATTCTGAAAGCCTGGCTTCGGAAAAAAAACCAGTGCATCAGCAATGCCACCCTCAATTGACATGCTGGTACTCGCACATTGTAGATGAGGGATCCTGCAAAAAGGAAGCCAAACAAACACAGTTTGCACATTATGACTTGGGCAAAATTCCTTGCTCGAAGCAATCCTGATTCATGTTGGAGTGCTTTCACACCGCACTGCGCAATGATGGTTGTCAATTCCAAGCAAGGTTCCTGCTGGCGGCAACGCAAAAACAAAAGGAAAGCAACACCGCAAGACGAGGCTTGCAACATGACAACCCTGCACCCTGCTCCACCACGAACCCTTCAATAACCTGGCCAGTTGCACAAACTAGATGTATTGCGAGCTGTTGCTTGAATGAGTGTACTATGTTCTTTCCGCGGCATTTGTTGACGGAGGGGATTATTGTGGTCATTGTTTTTCGCACAGAACCGAGGTGCCAGACCCTGGTTCTGCTTACTGGCACTGTAGGCATCCTGCGTGACAAGTCTACTGCAAACTGAGAATTGCTTGGTTCTGACCATGGATTCTACTGTCTTACTGCAAGCCGAGATTTGCTTGATCCTGTCGGAACATCAGCTACACCAGGCCCCAGCAGACTGGCACATTGGACACCTTTCAACTATGATTTGTCACACCGTGAGGTCGGTCCTGCTCCGGAACTTTTCGGGAACACTACTTGAAAGTGCCAAAGTGGCGCTCAGCTGCCGTTGCTGACAACGTCAGCAGTAGTACCGCCTCGCGTCGTTCAACAGCCCAAGAACGCAAACAAAAACGTCGACCTGCAAACACGAAACTCTACACCACTTGAGAAAAGACCAACACACATATCTACATTGACGGCAAAGGTCATCACAGTGCCCCTTCAAGAAAAGAACACCGCATCAGCATGCTCATCGAGTTCATCTCCACTGACCATCTTGAAATAAGTAGGATTGATGGATATCAAAGGCTTGAAATCCGATGGCCTAGAAAAACTCATCCAAAGGCGGAGTGCGGGCTTGATTTGGAAGTGGACGTCCTGCCAATGGAAAAACGCGCCTGATGGCTGATGGACCCTCCCCGTAGTACCAAAGAACCAACTTGCTGAGTTACTCGGCCAAAAAAAAACCGCACATTTTTTGCGCTTGGTGGCATAAAGGTGGCAACCACATGCGTGCTTGCCATTTGACACATTTTCGCACCTAAGTGCCGCTCAGACCAAAAGAGGCCGTCCTTCGGGAAGGAACAACAATCAGCTTGTGTTCCGGTTCAGTCGCGCCGCTCGCGCCTTCAGAATGCTGAAGATCGTGCCTGCAAGGCGTGTAGTCTCTGCCCTGTGGCAAGCTTGACTCCGTAATTGAGTGAGGGCATAACAAAGAAACCCTGGCAAGTTACAATTTACCGTTGGTTCAGTTTGGTTTAGTTGGACTCTTTTCAGGAAACTCTTTGCGGCGCATGCTCGGGCCAATTTTGCAACGGAACATAGGGTGAGTTGTCATGCGACACACACACACACTTGTTTTGAACGTTGTAGCCTACCTTTCTCTCTCTCTCTCTCTCCAGCTTTCTGTCTAGAAGGCTGTGTTGAACGGATGCACCAACCTGAATGGAGGGACCACCGAAGAAAGGCAACATTGATGGCTTCTTTTGGCCGCACCGTGTGAGGTCGCTATAATTTGCCCAGGAAGACATTGCCATTTTCCATGTCCGGGTCCTTGTCTGAGTGTGGCCCCGTCGACCCGCCGGCTTGCTTGTTTCGGCCTGTCCCATGGGGAGCTCACTGTTGGTGCTGCAGTGGCTGCCACGGCCACTGAATCTGTGGCCGAGTGGAATGGATTCTTCCAAGCCTCGGGCGAAGAGGTCCATGGCCATCCCTGATGACCCAGTAAGTGCATTTTGAACTTTGACTCAGGGTGTGTCACTCTTCAGCTGGTCAAGTCAAGCCGGAGTCTCATTCTGAGACACACAATCTTGAATCAATGGAGGAAACAGGTGCCCCATGTCCACTGGAAGGATTAAACGTTGCCAGCTCATGGCCTAATTGATGTTAACAGGTTTCCAATCAACTGGTGAACTGTTGGGTAGGCTAAAAACTAGCAGTCCTTCCCCGTCTGGCCTATTTCTTGCCAGGACTGCAACTGGCAAGTCCAAGGAAGTTGGGATTCACCTGCGAAATCGGAGGAGGTCGGTATGTGACTGTGGCTGGTACACTTTCTCGGCTTGTCACACCCTGTGATCGGAGCTGTGTCATGGCGACCCTCCCTCACTCGGGCAAATGTCCCTGGCGCCATTGCATAGAACACGGAAATGAACCGGCAGATGGTTTCTCAGGCGCCCAAATCATCGTAAAATGAATCCTCCAAATTACAGGCTGAGCATGCACTACCGTACACTTTTACCGGACTCTACCCGGCCATTCTAGCATTCCGATGGGTGCAAATTGGTCGAAATCTAATGCCCAAATTCTGCTGTGATAAACTGGGTGTGAATTGAGGAGTCGCGAAAAAAACAAAAGTCCATTCCTGGTGCGCGACAAAATTCTGGAACGTTGGGCTCCTTCAGGTAACGTCAAACCATGTGTCGTGATGTGTAGTCCAGAAAACCTGACCTTGCACGACGAAAGGACCTGAAAGGGAAAGTTTAATCTTTTGGACCAAGGACTATGGACTCATAATTGTTGAAAGTAAACGCCAACCCTTTTCAACTTCAATTACCAAAGAGCTTTCAGGTTCGTTTGTTTCCGACTACTCCGATCCTCACGCCAGGAAGCGGAAGACCTTGAGGTCGTTTGTGATTGAGCGCATCCGGTCCTTCCGCCTCTTCTTGGAAGTCTCCTTCGACTCATCCGACGCCTGCGAAGATTTGCAAAACAAGCTCAGGCTGTCCTTTACCCGGAAAAATATATTAAATAAATACTTCGCTTCGAGCAATCCCCACCCTCCACACTCACGAGCTTACGACCATTACAGCAAATTCCTCCGCATCCTAGAGACTTCGACTCCAAATTCCTATCAGCCCTTTTGGACAGTAAGCGCAACCAGACTGGCGAGCTGCTCTGGCGGGATACTGGTGGGATCCACTGGCGAATACTGGCGAGCCGCTCCGGCTCGATCCCACCGGGATACTCAGCGGGAAACTTGGCGGGATCCACTGGCGAGCTACTGTGCGATACTCAGCGGGACACTCGGCGGGACCCACTGGCGGGCTGCTCTGGTGGGATACTCGGCGGGATCCACTCCACTGGCGAGCTACTCTGGGATACTCAGTGGGATACTTGGCGGGATCCGCCTCTGGTGGGATACTCGGCGGGATCCACTGTGGCGCGATACTCGGCGTGATCTATTGGCGAGCCGCTCTGGCGGGATACTCGGCGGGATCCACTGGCGAGTAGCTCTGGCGGGATACTGGGCGGGATCCACTGGCCAGCTGCTCTGGCGGGATACTCGGCGGGATCCACTGGCGAGGGATGCTTGGCGGGATCCACTGGCGGGATACTCGGCGGGATCCACTGGCGAGCAGCTCTGGCGGGATACTGGGCGGGATCCACTGGCCAGCTGCTCTGGCGGGATACTCGGCGGGATCCACTGGCGAGGGATGCTTGGCGGGATCCACTGGCGAGCCGCTCGGCGGGATCCACTGGCGAGCAGCTCTGGCGGGATACTGGACGGGATCCACTGGCGAGCAGCTCTGGCGGGATTCTCGGCGGGATCCACTGGCGAACTGCTCTGGCGGGATACTGGGTGGGGGCGTGGTGTAGAAGCATCGCAAACGCGGATTCCAACATAAAATCTAACAACCTCTTCCTGTCGGGTGGGGAAAAAAGGAAAACATACAACAAAAAAACAACGAGCCCCTGCAATTGTGTGAGTTTCCTTAGGTTTCCCTATGCAATGCCTACGCGCAGAGGAAGCATGAATAAACCCAAGGCACTAACCGGATCCGTTTGCGTCCCCGGTGGGGGGTGGCGGGGAGGTTCAGTTCCATGCATCCCCTCCAAATTCCATCAGTCAGGGGGGGCTTTCCGCCATGTCGGATGAGAGCCTCAGCACGCCAAGCTTGCATATGCTCTGTTTTGTGAGAAGGATCTGGATACCCAGCAGCAAACAAAACACATGTTGTGAGTCCAAAGGAAGGTGGTCTCAATCGAGTTTCTGCAGACAACAGCAACAGCAGCAACAACAACACAAACAACAAGCAATCTGTCAACCCCTGCAGGCCAAGAAAAAAGAGGCCAATAATTCGACACGAGCCATTTGTGAGGCTATACCCCGAAGACGATCTACATCCAATCCATGCCATGCCATGCCTCTAGCTGGCACTCATGCAAATAAGACGGCCCTTCACAAGGGGGGCGACATAAAAGACATGTCCTTTCGTAGGCCGGAAGCATGGATTATTTTCCCACCACAGGCGCGCACCTCCTGAAATTTGAAAGAGGCTGCGCAAGGGCACAACCCAGATGGGTCAGCACGTGCATTTACGTAGTGTAGGAAGTTTTGACCAAAAGCCTTTTCCTGAAGCGGGGATGAGTCGTGCTGAAAAGTTGGGCTAGGATCAAGCCCAGAGCGGGCCACTTCATTCTCGCGCGCCAGACTTTAGCCCTGGTCCACGCCCATAATTGACAAAATCGCTAAGAACAATCCGAAAGTCCAACAGCCTTGATTTGTGCCCGGTCTCTTTGCAAGTCAGTTGTTGGTGCTGTGACTGCGACGGCGCCCACAACACGACGTGGCCTTGACACAAAAGAAAACATGAAAGAGCGCAATGACAACCACAAACACAACAACAACGGCAACGACGATGACGACCACGACAACAACCCCACCCACCCGCCCAAGCAAGCAACCAGCCAAACCAGGCAAACCCACACAACAAACAAACAAACAAACAGACAGGCAAACAAACAAGCAAAAGTAACAACAACCCCAAAGGCAAACAAACAAACAAACAAACAAACAAACAAACAAACAAGCAAACAAATCAAGCAATCAGTTTACCCTTGAGGAGTAGCTTGGATTGGTGGCCCTGTTAAACCAACCAGGGAACGTGCCCGCGAACGTCCGAACCACCAACCAAGGATTCCCTGAAGCAAGCAACCAAGCAAACAGAAAAGCAAGCACGCAAACAATAACAAACAAACAACACAAAGATGCAAACAACGCCCCCCCAAACTCAACAGCCACACAAACCGAAACAGCCAATCAACAAACAAACAAGCAAACAACTAAACAAGCAAACAAGCAAACAAACAAACAAACAAACAAGCAAACGAAACAATCACAAAAGCCAGCAAAACCAGACAAACAAAAAGTAAACACTACACACACAAACACACAGACACCAAACAAAGAGACAAGCAAACAACCAAAGAAACAAACACAAAACAAACCAAATAAGACAACAAAACTAAACAACCAAGGACACAAAAAGGACGGCCACCAACAAACAAGCAAGACAGACAAAACACACAAAGTCAATAACCAAGCACACCAAGCAAACAAAACCAAGCAAGCAAGCAAACAACGCGCGCACGCACACACGCACGCAACCAACAAACAAAGGCAAACAAACACACAAACACACAAACAAAAACAATCAGTCAACCAACCAGCCAATCAATCAACCAATCAACCAATCAACCAATCAACCAATCAACCAACCAATCAAGAAAACAAGCAAACAAACAGACAACCAGCAAACAAACATTCAACCAAAATCAAAAAAAACAATCTAGCAAACAAAACAACACAACACGGCAAAACCAAAAACAAGCAGGCCAAACAAACCAAACAATTACCCTCACCAAAAGCAAGTACAGTACAACCACGGGACCAAGTGCACAAACAAAAAAGGAAACACAACAATCAGGACAACCAAACCAAACGAGGAATCGACCAACCAACCAACCAACCAACCAACCGACCGACCAACCAACTAACCAACCATCCAACCATCCAACCAACCAACCCTTCAACCCTTCAACCAACCAACCAACCAACCAACCAACCAACCAACCAACCAACCAACCAAACAAACCCAACCAACCAACCAACCAACCAACCAACCAACCAACCAACCAACCAACCAACCAACCAACCAACCAACCAACCAACCAACCAACCAACCAACCAACCAACCAACCAACCAACCAACCAACCAACCAACCAACCAACCAACCAACCAACCAACAACCAAGCAAACAAAACCAAAAAAGACATCGCAACAAAACAACTAAACAAAACAGAACAACCCAACAACACCAAAGAAAACAAACAATAACAAACAGACATGCATTCAGAAGCAAAAACAACAAGGGACCAGCCAACCAGCCAAACAAACACACAATCAAAGACAACCCAAAAAAGGCAAACAACGCCAACAACAACACACACACACACACACCAAAAAAAAACAACAGACAAGCAAACACGAACACAAGCAAGCAAGCAAGCAAGCAAGCAAGCCAGCCAGCCAGCCAGCCAGCCAGCCAGCCAGCCAGTGAGCAAGCAAGCAAGCAAGCAAGCAAGCAAGCAAGCAAGCAAGCAAGCAAGCAAACAAACAACGCGCCTCCAAGCCGCAGTGAGGTCTTAGCGTTGGCCGCGCAAGGCGTGTGAAGCTCGCAACACGTCTGAGGGGTTTGTTGGGGGGGTGGCAACTGGCCAACTCAGCAAGACAAAAGCCGACCCATCCGCCAATATGAAATGGTCTAACCCCCTTGCCGCCTTCTTGCTGTTGAGGTTGTCCGCCAGCTGCATCAGCTTCTCCTCCAACTTCTTTAGGTCCGCATGCATGGCAACCTGCAAATCAAGTGAAATCCATCAAAGCACTGTGGCCTGCGTGTCGGCTTGCCCCCTGGAAAGCATTTAGTCTTTAAGCGTGGCCCCTGTTGAGCGCAAGTCTGCGATAGGAAAGCTAGGCCGTGGCGCAGAAAGAGGAGCTGCTGAATAGGACATTACGTTGCCAAGTGCGCAAAGCGTGTCAGTTTGCGCAGTTTGCTTACTACTCGTCAAACAGTCCTTGGCTATTGCGAACCACCACCATTCACCAAAACGTCGCTTCAAGCGACTGCCCCGGCAGTCATTCACCCAAGCTTGTTTGCTGCCTCATGGCGTTCATGCAGTTTCCATTCAAACATTCCAGCCAAATGAAACAACTGAACATACTCATGTGTATATTTGGATGGGTCAGTTGTGTTTGATGGCGGGTTGGCTTGAGGGAGGGAACATCTTTGAAAACCGTCGCAACCCGAAGGCAATGCTCGCCATCTCTGAAACTCTGGCCTGGTCAATGGCACGCGCCGGGCCCTTGCACCGCAGGATCCCGTCGATAAACTCCTGCGCTACAGAGCGGGGAAATCAACGGGATGAAATTTCTTTTCACACACCCCTTACACAAACCCCCCGCGGGCTCCCCCTACCCTGGCCGTGTGTGGCTTTGAGGGCTGAGGGGTCTACGCTGTCAATCAGCCCCCCAACGACCGCTTGGGTCTTTAAAACGCAAGCCAACGCTGTACCGCAGCCCGTGGAAAACAGACCGCCAGATTCACATTGTCTTTCCAAGTTGCCCTGATTTCTGGCTGCAAACTGACCAGCTTGGGCACTTGCAAACATGTCACCTGAGAGCTATGTCTGTTGGACCGGGCCGCCAGACTCGTTTTTCGTAATCACTTTCATCCTGTCAGATCTTGCTATCTTGCTGCTGCTGGACGCCCCCAAAGCCGAAGGCATTGGCGTTGGCAGACCAATCTTGGCTGCGAAGGCTGGCCCTCTCTATCCGAAACAGCCAGCCAAGTGGTCGTGCTTTGACACATTGGGGGAGACCGTGCGCCAGCAGTGCACGAACGGTTCTATACTGGTCTCGCGCAACCAGCTCAGCTAGAATATATCCGCGAAACAAAGTGAAGGCACGCACCATCCGCCCCAGTTGATTCAAGAGCGGGACTCGGCTGAGCACGCCCGCTATATCCCGCTATTTGTACCCATCCAGCAAATAGGCCCGTCTGCCAACCGCCACACAGCATCGCGCCTCCAGCGTGACCTCTCCATCACCATTGTCCAGGATGTGGAAGAGAGCGGTGCCTCGCTTCCAACACTTGCCTACCACGGCCCTGCTCACGGTGAACCACTTGATGAGGGTTCTGGAATAGTTTGCGTATCTTGCCCCTGTCTGCATTTTGGGGGGACCCTTCAGCTTCGCTCGCATGTTTTTGTTCTCTGACTTCTCTGTACACTCTAGGGAAGGTCCACAAAGTGGCAGCAGCAACAGTTGAAGAGTGGATGGGTGTAAGCGTGTGTGTCAGCTGTTAGCGTGGGGCACTCCCAAAGACCCAATCAGGCGGTGGCAGAGCCACCTGCCCGCCTTTGGAATGTGAGTCAGAGAAACGTGAGTAAGACGGTGAACTCCAACCAGGTGGATGAAACTTGCCAGGTATGCTCTGGCGAAGCTGAATGCAACTGTGTGGTGCGAATGTAGTGCTCGAAGTTCGAAGTGCACTCCCCGGCTCGAAAGATATGAGTTGCTCTGCGCAAGTTGCTCTGTGTCAGGTGTCTTTTGCAAGTTGCTCTGTGCAGGTTCAGCTCCTCTGTGCAAGTTGCCTTGCGCAAATTGCAGTGTGCCAGTTGCTCTGCGCGCAGCCCTTCTGGATTTCACGAAGCAGGTTCTTTTCCTATAATGTCAACATCGGATTAATCAACCCATGGTATGAAACCGGCCGGCATTTGAAAGAACTGGGGTGCACCTAAATAACAAAAATACCCAAACAACCATGCAATTCAAGCGGCCCTACACACACAACCTCAAATTCAGAAAGCCCAACCCAAATCAAGCGTTCAAATCCCGAAGAATCCCTGGTGATGCAGCTGGCCTCATTTTGCCCACGCTGCACCTAAATCTTGCAGACATGTGCTTTCCATTTGCTTGGTAATGCCAAGGACAAGAAAAGCTGCCAGTGCCAGCCTTGCAATAGTACAAGGGCGACGAGGCATTGCCAAGCCAGCACAAACATCAGCCAGAACTCCATGAAATCCAACAATGTTTGCCTTCTGAAAGTGCAATTTCTTTGTAAAATCCCTTGCAAAAAGTGATGGTTTGAGAAGGCCGCATGAGGTACCCCACATAAGTCCCAGCCCCTGTCAATAACATGGGTCCCCATGCTATTAATTTGGCCTCCCTCAGGCCTGCGACAAAAATCCACATCCAGCTTTGTGCTTCCTAGCACTTGTATTCTAGCACTGCCGTGAAGCATTGCCAAGCCAGCACAAACATCATCAGGCAGAACTCCCTGAAATCCAAAAAAGTGTGGCTTTCTGAAAATGCAATTTAGTTATCAAATCCCTTTCAAAAAGGTCTGATTTGAGAAGGTCACATGAGGTACCCCACATGAGTGCCCAGGCCATGCTAATAATGTGAGTTCATATGGTATTAATTCGGGCCCTTTAGGTTGTACCCATTTATGAGCTCCAGCAATACTAAATTAACTGGACACTCAAATCGACACAAAAGGAAGTGCCAGCAATAGTAAATCAAATGGAAAGTGAAATCCCACAATACTAAATCAACTAACTGGACAGTCAATTCAAAATGCAAACTAAATCAAATGGACACTTATATGCAACAATACTAAATCAAATAAGTCGAAGCTCAAATCAAATTCAGAAGGAAGCTTGAGCAATACTAATCAAATGGAAACAATGACCGAAGCTCCTTTTGGCATTCTGCTGGAGCTCTGGGATAGCCATTCCCAATTCAAAAAGAGTATTGCCCAATTGACTAAAGTAGGATTGCCCAATTCTAAGATAGACCGCCCAGATTAGATGATTATTTCAGTGCCAGGTTCTTGTTTTTGAGCCGAAAACCTTCTCGGCCTTCTCCAGGGGTGCTGTTAATCCGACGTGAACAGTATATAAGCATGTGTTTCTTCTAGAAATGTTTGTCACTTTCAAGCCAAAGGTCTGCATGGGCAAAAGCCGTTCCAAATAAAGCGCCGCTCAGGGCAGCTCGAAGCTGGCGTGGTGACCACAGTGCATGAGGAAAACAATTGCCGAAGGCAACGCTGGCTGATTAACACGTGTGGCAACAGCAACAAAAACACGTACGCGCCGACACTTGCGTGCGCCATATAGTTCTGGGGAGGGTACCCCTGACAATACCAGCTAGGTGTTCATTACGCGTCGTTAGGCAACTGGCGCGCACGAACGCAAGTGTGCTGTGCCTAAGCCGTTGGAACATTGCGGAACCTTGTCCCCCCAACTCTTGACATGCTAGCCGGAGAACCCCCACAAAACCAACGAACGAAGCCAACAAACGGACAACCGTGCCAAGAACAGTGACTTGTTTTGATGCCCCACTCTTAGTACATATCTCTATACATATATACGTAGATATATATATATATACACATGAAATATGCAACTACCCTCTCACAAACACAGCACAAAGACCCGCTCCGCTCTTGATGACTTCCTTTCTGGAAAGCGAATAGGGCGCATTGCCCGCTCGCCTTCATGGACGGCCAAGTCCAAGGTCTCGAAGTAGGCCTTCACACGCGGGTTCCTCAGTGCCGGCTCGCCCGGGAGGGCAGGAGGCAGGAATTGGGATCTTGGATGCTTGCTTCAGCACTTCATTGCTAGGATGTAGCTCCATCTAGGCCCTGTAATTGATTGTTTGTATCGTGGCTCGTCAATCCTTTCTTGCCCCTCAAACCAACAAGATTAGAGCGACATACCGGGAACTCAGATTGATGCCTGAGACTGTTATACTTCAACAGTCCCGCCAACGAGCTGGATCACCCGATAAACCTTCATTGCAAGTCCAAACCAAGCCACATCAATCCGAACTAAGCCATACCTGCATGAGGGAAAACCTCAATCCTGTGAGAACGGTTGACTTGTTGGCCATATGAGCGTATCGGGAGGATCCCAGGACCGCCAGATGCTTGCTCGTGTCTTCATCTCCAAAAGTCTGAAATGACTCGCGTGCTGCTATGAAGCTTGATGCGACGATGGGGGGATGCGGCAAGTTGGCAGGGTGCATCAGCCCCTACCCTTGTGGCCGTGAACGTTGTTATTGTCTTTTGCTGCGAGGGTCGGGTTGGTATTGCAGTGCAGCTGGCTGCGAGGTCTTTCTGTTTTCAACGGGCACAGCCTTGGTTGCATTGCTTGCAAACACAAGCGCGCAACTTGTCAATACTCAGACTCTCACTGGTGTTCTTCCTCCTCTGCACGACTCTCGTAAGAATCCGGGCAGCTCTGAGTGCATCCAACAAGCTGCGGAGTCCTACTTTAGCCATCCCATAGACCCAGCCCGAGGCCATTTTCAAGGGGGGCCTATGGAAAGCGAAAGGTCAAACATTCGGATCACAACGAAACGTGCAAACCCGTACCACCCAAAGAACACATCCCGTCGATTTGCCCGGTCGAAAGCACTTGAGCCAAGCGTCTCAAGAATCTGATTGAGACGCTCCTCTGTTATCATGCCATTCCCGGTTTCGTCGATGGCTTCGAAGATGCTCTCCTGGGTTTCACAAGGCGCAACAACAGCCAGAAGGAAACTCAATCAAACTTGGTCCAAAAGGTGTTTGTACAGGAGATATAGAAATTGTGTCAAGGATGCCTCCTTTTGTCATCTTCTCTACAGTAGTCCCTTCCCCTTCAAACCAGTCTACTAATATATCCCGCATTCCCCCCCATTCCGGGCCCTCCTTCTTATGCTCCTTCCTATGAGCATTCTAAACCGTTTCAGTATGTCGTCTGCAAACTCTCGTTACAAACAAAAACACATGTTCAATGGAGCAATGGAATTGCAAAGTGCACCTTTGACTGCCACCTGCAAACAGACAGTTTGGATCAAGCACCTGGCCGATTTCATTTGCAAACTTACGTTAGCAAGGCAATTAATTAACTCTGATGTTTGCAAAGGACTTGTTTGGACAAGAAACAAACAATTCCTGGGGCCGTCCAGCTTCATAGCTTCCAGAAACACAATACTTGCAACAGGCGGGCGGGCAGCGGGCAACGGATGGCATAACTTCAAACATGTGGCTTCCCAAACTGCGCCATCCTTCGGTTTGGTTTCTTTGCAAACCGAACGGGGGCAAAGTGCCCGCAAGTCAAAGCCTTTCAACTGTGTTTTTTTCTGGCTCTGTGAAGCGCTTCCATCGCATTTTCCTGTCAGGTGCCCCAGAACACTACCTCACGAGCCTCTTTGGCTCCTCAGCTTCCTAGGTACTCTGGTCGTATCAAAGGCTTGAAGGTGAAGGCAGTACGTAAATGTCGAGGCAACCTTGGCCCATCCAGCATGGCTCCTAAGTCTTTGCTTCGGGTGCAAGGCTTCCTGCATCACAACGCAGGGTGCGACAGCAACTTCAACATCCCTCTCCAAAAGCTGTGCGATGGAAGCACATGCAATGCTGATCCGCCGGGTTTGACAACCAGCTGCCATGAAGCACACAACCCTGGAACAAAATCAGTCACTGATGACATCCATTTCGTTTAGCCGTTGCACAGCCCCGAAGACAGAACCATGTCCTTTGCTCGTTTTCTGCTTCGCCCTCTGCAGAATACGGGTGTTTGTCATTTGCAAGTGGATTACATTTGAGGGCTGGTCTCATTAGGATTCCGCTTGGCCAGACTTCAAGCTTTCTCCAGAAGCAAGTGCAAACACAAAATTAACAGTCAAACCACTACTGGATTAGCATTGCTTGAGGCCGGCTTGCCACAGGCCTACGAACCAGCAACTAGTAAGTGCGACCAGAAAAGTTGGTTCAAGAGAATCAAACTGACCCTATCCACCATGCCAAGGGAAAGTCTTCTCAAAGCTTTGGTTGGTGGGCTGAGTTCCCATCCCATGGGCCACTAAGCCTCATTGACGCTTGCTCTTACCCCGAATCACGGGCATGTTTTTGTTATTCGCTTCGCTTTGTTTACTTGGCCAGCGACCGCAACCAAGGACAGTCTCGTTTTGGCAGCTGATTCAAATGCACCTTTCCCAAATGGTACCATTGGTTTTGAACCATGGCCAGATGAGAACCTCCTCGCCACACCCCGATGGCCCTGCAGCCGAGGCACCAGTTTCTGCACGTACTGGGCCTTCTTCCGAATCCCCTCCGCCAACTGGTGCTCCGCATCCTCGGTGCCGTCCCGTGGCAAACGAACAAGCACCTCTTTCATGGAAGCGTAAAGTAGATGCCAAATGGACACTTGCCAAGCCCTTCACCTTGCATCCTTACATACCCCCTCTGTACATGATATGAAACACGTATTCGCTGGTTCTCGTTGGCTGCCATTAACCGCGCAGGGTTCATGTTTATTTTCTGGTTGGCGAAGCAGCCCTGTGTGAGCAACAGGCATGGCCGCCCATGAACAGCTGGATGACAAGTAAACACGAAACGACCAAGCAGCAAACCAGAAAAAAAACTATCGCCGGAAGTTCTGCGATGCTACGCAAATGTCACTCAAGTTGCTTCCCATGTAGGAGCAGCCTGGAAGCAGCCCGTATTTCCCCATGAAGCACAACCGCACCAACAAGAAACTCGCTTTGACTTGGTCCTAAAATTGATGTGTCAAACCACTGAAAGGGCAAAGATAGGGAACCCCGAGGCACATCACCAGGCACATTATGCAAGAGCAAGAACGAGGCACATTACGCAAGGTGCCATGCCCCATCAACCTCTGCCAGTGTCTTCAAAGGCACCTCTAGGTGTTCAACACACCGATCCAACTGAATATCAAGCAGGCTCCTTCTTGGCTAGCCCATATCTTTTGCATATATATATATATATGTGCCGGGCATCTCGCTTTGCAGTTCCCTTGGCTTGAGCAAACTCACCATCTAACCAGAAGCTTAACATTCACCAGCAGGTCAGCCACATGACCAACAAAATAAAGCAAACTTGCTGGCAAAGCAACGAGCGGACGCAATGACAACCATCTGAGGTCAAGTTCCGTACTACAGTTCTTGATTGTTTGATCAGAACGCTGGAAATTCAACCTGGAAAAACCTGAGACGCAAAGATTATACCGAACTTCCCGTTAGGAAAAGATGCAACATGATGCCCTTGGGCTCGGTTCTTGCGCACGCCAGCTCTAAGCTGCGAAGACAAGCATCATTGTGCGCGGCATCCAAAGTGTCTTTGAGGAATACGGCCGTGATAACTCCTCGGGCAAGAATAATAATAGACTTCGCATGCGCTGAGCCGAATTGATCAAGAAGGGTACCCGTTTTTCCGTTGCATGAGTTTGCAAAGAGCCCCATGACCTACGTTGAGGAGCAGTAAACCTTCATCTGAAAACAAACCCAAAAGAATTCCCGCCCGAAAACATCTCTTCCACCCACTCTCTCTTTTTTCGCTCTCTCTGTGCCTCTCTCTCTCTCTCCCTCTCCCTCTCTCCCCGTCCCTCTCTCTCACTCCCTCTCGCTCTCTTTCTCCCTCTCTCTCTCTCTCTCGCTCTCTCTCCCTCTCTCTCTCTCTCTCTCTCTCTCTCTCTGAGGCTCTTATGGCTGCAAAAACAATGATCGTGATATACAGCACGAAGAAGATCACGAAGAGATGGCTCACCTTTTCCAGTACCGGCCTAACGTTGGCCGGCCAGTTCCCTGCCTTGATTGCAGAGATGGCTACAAAAAACAGCATAGGGTGTGGAATGTTTGAGGGTACCCTGTGCGTGCCTGTTTTCCAAGGGAGGCAAAAGGGAAACCGGCCATTTTGCGGGTTCCCCTTTAAAAAAAAAAAAACAGCACTTGTTTGATTTCTTGGGGGTCACAGGGAACAAACCAAGCGGAACACAAAGCAGAAAACTATAGGAAGCCAAATCATGGAGCCACTTAGACTGGGATACAAAAGTGATTTCGTAAAGGGTGTAGATGGAGCGGTAGGCCGTGCCGTAGTGCTGCCACACCCAAATCCGGTCTTCCAGATTCGCCTCGGCCTCCAAAAAGTGCCTCGGCTCACCGAAAGGGCACCACAGGCTGCGATTGGCTGGGAAGATGTGGGCTGGTGCTGGCCCAGATGCGCGAAAGTGAGCAAAAGGGAGCCCACAAATCCTGGATCGTCGTGTTGCGGAACTTTTTGTGTTCTGGGGGGGGCCTTCTCAAAACCTCGGCTGCGCGGAAACGGTTTGGACGGTGTCCCAGGTGCTGCAGCAGCTTGCCCAGCATTAGGCCACTCATTGCCATGACCATGCCCAGGAGCACCTGAAAGCCCGGGCTGTCTACACTCGGCTTTTCTGAGGTGGCACAAGCACAAGGACACAAAACAAGCTACATCAGCTTTGTGTGTGTGGCCTCATTTTCGCAACCCCGGGACACAAGCCAGATAGCAACCCCCATCTTAAGCACCAAGTTGGCTCCCCCAATTCCCCTAGCTTCCCCCGCAAAAGTCGAAAGACCAATGGACGCATACATGGGATTCTTGTAGGACACTTGAAAATCAGCATATTCCACTGAGGCCCTCGCATGTTCACAAGCACGCAGCAGTGCTACGACGCGCTATGCAAGTCTGGTAGTTTTCTCGGGTTTTTGTTTGGAGCAACCGCAAGTCTCATTGTCCTCACTTCAAACGATATATGGCCTTAACCCAGGAATCCAACAAATGCAAGACCAAAAGAACCCCCAAAAAGTGATTGCTGTGGGAAACTTTGCTTGTTTTTGTGTTGCGTTGTTGTCAACATTCCTGCGCTTTCGTTTCCCAAACCACCAAGGAACACCAAACTTGAAACTGCCAAGGTTGATTTGCTTTGGATAACAAAGATCTGCTGACCATTCGGTAAGATGTGCTTTCCGATCTGCAAGCAGCCTAATCGTGCGACTCATGATGAACCCGCTGACATGCCCACGAAATCGACAATTGCGCGCCCATTCCTAGCACAAGTTGCCCTTCGACTAGCCAGGGACAAGCCGACAGCCCCTCTCGAACAAGTTCAATGTGCACCTTGCCTAACATCAAGCAGTGGATGGCCCGCACCCGTCCGGGGCGCCATGGACCAGGCCAAGGTCGGAAGAAAGGCGTGGCACGCTTTGAGCAGCAGCCGTAGCCCACTGAAGAGCCTCCCGAACAAAACTCCAGGTGTGGAGAGGTTGCGCCATTCCTTTCTAGGCTTGGATTCCTTGACCGCGCATCTGACCCACTCTTTTACCTCAAACTCCTCAAAGACCTTTCTTGGGGTGACTAGCCGCAAAACTACCCCTCAAGGGCTTGAATTATGCCCCCAGGTCCATCTCCAATCGAGGTGTTTCAAGGCATCCAGGAAGACGCTCGAGGGCCCAACGGCTTTAGACCATACCTGATCACCTCGCAAAAGCAATGGCAGTCGAGGAGAACCAGCTTCCTGATAATTACTCAGCATTTTACAGAAATAAGCGTGAAGTTCGGGAAAACAGTCCTGCATGTGCTTGAAAATCATCCAGCAGAGGCAAACAATGACACAGTTCCCGATGTAGCCAAACAATTCACACTCACTCAACATGACCCCAGTAGAGGAACTGTTGGGACGCTTGGCCCACTCAAAGGCTCAACCGTCCTGCCTGAAGATGCGAAGCACCCGCAGGGTGCGCAGCGTGCTTAGAGCGCGGAGGACCTGATAGCCAGCACGAACCAACCACAAGGGAACCCGTTACAAACATGTTTGGCCCTTTGAAGATTACCGGGCTCTTTCCACACCAATATCACTCAGGAAACAACGTGCTGAAAAAAAATACCCTGAAATTCGACAAAGGCAAACAGTCAAGTACCACACATCAACGCCCGCCCGCAAGCTCTCACACGCGCACACACACACACACACATGGAATGCGGGGGCATCAATCCATGTTTGGCCATTGGTGTCGTGCCGCGCAAGCACACTTGGCTGTGCGGGAACTAGAGGCCCATTTCGAGGCAGGAATCTGGGGAATTAACATCTCTAGCAACTCTGGTCAAATTAAGAGCGGGGGTCCTCTTCAGCCTATGTATATATATATACATATGTGTGTGTGTGCGTGTCTGTGTGTACGGGCTTCCGTGGACCATCGAATCAAACCAGCTCGTGAAGACTGAAAACCTTCGGGTTGTCTTGACCGCAGCTTGTTTCAAACAAGAAGAAGCTGACACAATCAAATAGCGCATGCCCGGAAGCTACAGCTGTATGCACATGTCTGCGATCGCTCGTAGACCTTGTGCGCTGACTGTTTCTTACTCACCAGGATGGATTGCCCACAAACTGCAAAGTGCGTGATCCTCCAAAGCACCCAGGAACTTGCTGCTGCAAAGCCGAAGCATGATGCTCCCTTAAACGCCAACTAGGAAGTAACCAATAACTCACTCGCCCGCTGGTCGTTGAAGAAACAACCAGCACCACTGGGCAATGGGGTGGTACCTTATACAGTTATGAGGTCGATCCACTTGCCCGGGCCAATTTGACGTGTCCTGGAAACAGCTTCCATGTCGAGCTCCAACGTCACAAAGGGTCTCCACGCACTAAACGAGGCCCAATTTCAGATTCAACAAGGGATGGGGCAAATTGCTCAAAAGCAACATGAGGAATTGTGTAGGTGGCCCCCAAAATCGGAAACTCCGGTGGTGGAGTCCCTTGCCATGAAGGAGGTCTACCTATGGGCTGTGTGAAGTCCCCAAATCATGGCCCGCCTGCTGCATCTGTGTCGTCCCAGGTTGGCCCCCGACTGTCACGAACAAGTACCTCTGGCGGCGTCGGGCTGAGGCGTTTGGTGAACGCGAGGAACCTGGGCCCCAAAAATGGCAGGTTTCCTCCAGCACCCCCCAATGGCTGGCCAATTGCCGGCACATCGATTTTGGGCAAAACGATGTCACTTTATGTCTAAGTGACTGCAAAAACATTTTGCTATCAATTATCACTCCTCTGTACTTAGTGCAATTTGTGCAATGATACAAGTGACCTTTCAGGGTCCTTTGGAATGGGGTTGCAGGGGAAAGGGGAGAGCAGCAAATTTGAGGTTTGGAGGGCAAGTTTGAGGTTGGGAGGGGTTCTTGAGGAGCGTGTCACGGCGTGTCACGGCGTGTCGGGGGGTGGCCAATTGCCGGCACATGTACGTTGAACGGTCACTATTTTGGGATATGAGCGTGTCACCAGCGTGTCGCCCCCCCTCCCCCCCCGCGCGTTGCACGTGCAATGATCATACATGCCAGCCCAACCCCTCAATTGGATCCCCTCTAGTATCCGGAAGTGACGTTTCAACAAAAGTGACTTTTCACTGCACTTTGATGATGGCAAAAAAAACCATGTGACTACAAAACCATTTTTAAGCAAGTGCTGGTCAATTGCCGGCACTTCACCCGGGACGCCAATTACCGGCCATTGGGGGGGCCTGGGCTGTTGTTGCCCTTTTAAACCCAAAAGGGGAGCCCTAAGACATACCCACGTGCGCTACGCAACCTCAGTCACATGCACCATCCCAGCTCGGAAACTTGCTGACACCTCTCCTAGTGGCTTTTTGTTTGGGAAAAGTAGCTAGCAAATGGTTGTCCGAACTTACAAATTTAAGGACGCCACTGAATCGTGACTTGGATGGCTGAGTTGGCAATGTAACAGCTTGCGCTAAGCAACCACTGATTACCTCCGCCTCTAAAGTGCCACTAAGTTGTGCAGTTTACTTTGAGACCAAAGGAGAGTCATCTCCTTAATCACGTGTAAGCATCTTAATGACCTCCTCTTAAACAAGAGCAAAAGCCGGTTCTTGTCGAATGTTTGCCGCTATCAACATTATTTTGTCCTACGAAGCAATCTCTATAAGCCTTAAAAACTATCACATCGCCAAGCAACATATAAACCCATGTTGGTGCCGCAAAGGACACGAAAAACACGTCTTTGTCTGTTGCCCGCTTTCAAGCAAACCACGCCCACAGGAGGAAAACGAGGATGATTGCTGGCAGTGCCTGAGGGCCTGTCCCCGCAGACCGTGAGATTCCTACGTAGGAAAAGCAATCCATTTCGGTTTGGGGGGTGCACATTTTTGGTGGAGCATCCATCAAGCAGAAAGGGAGACGTGTGCCGCAGTGTGCCACTGGACAACTGGGTCAACAACCCCTAACCTTCATGAGCAATACTTCTGAGCCAAGGCGCACATCTCCCAAGCTGGCAGTGACCAGGAACATGTCAAACCAATTGCCCCAATCGTACATGAAGTCCTGACACTCGGATACAAATGCCCCAATGGGCATGCCCCCGGTTTTGGGCTCTTGCCCGAACGGCACTCGACCACTTCCCAAGCTAACAGGAGTCAGAAGTTCGTTGGGCCTTGCAAAGCCAAAGCTACACGACAAGCCGCTTTCCCATGTTGCGGCCAGCAAGTTTAACATGGCAATGTGCGAAACCAAGAAGGATCATGGAACTGCACCTTTTCGTAGGTTAGCCAACTCTTCCTTGCTTGCGCCATTGCGTCCACAAGATGTGGGTTGGAGCCCTTGGCCCTCATTTACCAGCGCCGTCTAGGCCAATGAATGGTCAGATCTTCCACTGGCATGTTCACAAGGTTCACTGAGGCAATAGATTGCATGTTGCTGCGGGAGCTGTATACTGCACTCCCGACCTCAAACGGCCCAATCGGCAATTGCCGCCGACACAACTCCAATTCATTGGCCTGCGGACTGGGAAGCTCCGACCTGCCAACATTCCTTCCCATTCGCCCTTGTAAGCTTCCAAGAGGAAAACAGAAGGTGTGTCGAGATAAGGATGCGAGCAAGACAGAGCTGCAGTATCTTCCCAGCATTTGATGCCGGTGTTGGCTCTGAACATAATCCGAAGAATCGTCACCTCAAGCTCCCCTAAAACATGCCATCGGTCTGTGCGTGCGCGATACTTTTGAAGGGGCGTGCTTGTTCCGGAGAGCAACCACAAGGCCTGCTTTTTGGTAACACCCAGCTGTGATTATCACCACCCTGCACCTGCATGCCAAAAAGAGGACAGTGTGCCAAAGAACCTAAGGACCATTCGAAGCATATCCGAACACCCTAAGCCCAACAAAACAACTTCTACTGACGTGCACTCCTTTGCAAAACTATCAAACTTATGATTCCTTGCTTGAATTCGCGGCTTTCCCTGGAACTCCCCCCAAACGGCCACCAAAAACCCTGGGAGTCCCTGCTTTTGAACGGCTAATCGACCCGCCGTCCGCCCTCCAGGCTCCCGCTTCTCCGCATAGATCCGCAGCAAAAGTTCCAGTAAGTAAATCATCGCGAAACACAACTGGACGTGGCCTGCACTCACACACCCAGCGAGCGACAAGACTGACAGGCAGCGAAGCCCCGATGATTGCTCCAAATGGTGAGGGGTGGCAAGTGTAAATCCGAGGTTGACAATAAGTGGCTTGAGGAAATAGCCACCTCCGAACCCCCACACACACACGACGAGATGGCCAAAAAGAGTTGAAGCAAGCAAAGTGAACCAATAACAAGGTGTCAAAACCTGGAACCCTTTCAGTTTGCTACCAATCACTCGGCGATTTCCCAACACAAGGCCCGTCCAACGCAACAGCGACTGGCCAAGAAGACCGGCGTTCAGTTTGCAACTCCGTATAGCAACACGTTCTCACTTGTCCCAACTGACATGAAATGTAAACTTGTGAGACTGGATGAGACTGGAAATTGACACCAAGGAAGATCGATTCGCTTTGGGCAATGGAGAGCCGTCCTTTAGCCCCTGAACACTGAAGCATGTCCTTCAGCGGGGGGTTTTCCAAGCCAAGGAAGGGTCGAACGATCATAGCAAATTGCCATTGTCTGCCGGCTGCAACCCTTTCGGCAAAAAGGGGTTGTCAAAATAGGGGGATGTTGACAACCGGGGGGTTCATTTTGGCTTCTCCCTAAAGCCGCCCCAAAAAAAGGGGTACCCCGAAAAAGAGACAGGCCACCCATATTGTCGCACAGAACGGTTCCCCCGAGAACGGAAGCGACAGGGAGAACGTCTAGCATCGCGGTGAACCCAAAATGTATCTGGGCAACATGCCTGCGAACTCGTCCTACCTTAGAGGCAATACGCCATAGTATGGGGGGTATCTAGTTTGGAGCCATTAGGTAATTGTTGCGGACAAGGGTGCATGACACCTAGTTGTTAATGAGTAACTGGGGTGTCGAGTTTGAAGAAATCCAGTTGGCACTACGCTATCGGGTCGAGGCGCCAAAGATGACGCCATGGTTGTCCTCTACTGGATCGATGGGGTCCAGAGTCCCCCCCTCCAACTCCAGCTCTACGCACCTTGGAGCCGGAAGCCACAAGTCCAAAACACAAAGAGTGGCGTTGGGTTCAATAGAGGTAGGTTGAGATAGAGAGACTTTGTTCAAAACCAAAAGGGCGTACCTTTCTGAGTGAGGGTCAGGCCTTGTAAGACCCCTTCGTCCGGCGCGGTTGAGTTGCCTTTGGCCGCGAGTTTGTCGGAAATTCTGGCTCCAAGCTGTTCTGGATCTGTGTCTCCAGCCAACAACCGCGTCCCAAAGAGCTCGGTTTGTTGAAGCCGCCAAACTTCATCCGTCATCAAGGAGTCTACATGTTATGTTGCCTCCTCGTGGCGCTTCGCTTCATCCAAAGCCGAAGCGAGTTGGTCCAGGCCGATGGCCATGGAAGTTGAAAGGGGTTAGGCAGCCCGTACAAAAATGCACGAGAAAGCCCGTCACTTTAAAACTTTGAACAGGGGTTGACTCTTTGAGCAGGGGTTGAGCCTTGACTCTTTGAACAGGGTCACTTTCACCTGTCCAGCAGCCACACAGGAAGGCAAAGTTCGTCTTTACAAGAACTCTGTTTTGGGAGGCCCCCTTCTTGGTGTCCGGCCGGTTAGCATGCATGAGGGTCTACTAGGTTGAAACCTGCCAGCAGAGTGAACTCCTTAGATGTTCCTAGATCCACATCTAAGAACCCATCTGCTACTCGCAAACCATTGGAATATCCATTGGAAACAACCATTGGACATTTGTAATGATGCACCCTCCGTGGCATGCCCATGCGAAAAAAAATGCAAGCCAACCGGTGAACAAAAACTGCCCGCGTTGTGCAGCTCGTACTGAACGTGAACAGGACCAGACAAAAACCGAAAGCGGCAAAAGCTGATAAGGATAGTAAAGTTTCAGGCCTCTTCCCAAGTGACGCAATCACAGGAAGGTTAGAAGCATGCGAGAAAACCTGCGTGTGCGTGTGGTGCGGGAATAGCAATCGCGAAAAACTGTGAGCCTCTGTTTTTTTTGGCGTTTCCGGCGGGCTGAAAGCCTCCTCGCTCTCGATGCCTGTCCGGAAACGGTCTCGGACGGGCGTTGACCAAGACCATTGGCACGGGCACGCGCTCTTTTCGCGACTTAAGTTGTATGGCAGGCAGGCACAGCACTTTGTTGGATTCGTTTTCCTGACCACTTGAAGAAACAATGTGATTTCAACAAACATGAGCACCAGATTTGGTATTTTTAGCACCATAACGGCGTTTAGAACACCCAGCTGACTTCGCAACACGCATTCTTTGTTGTGCTTAAAATGCACGACATGCAAACAATTTGCGAACAAGGGTTGAAAGCTTGGCAAACGGTATTTCCAACACCAAATCCCAGGCACGGCCCACGACATGACGCAAAAAAAACAGACAGTTCACATGCACCATGGATTCCCAGCAAGGGACGTCAGCAACACAAGCTGGCCCTAACGGTTGTTGCAGCACAAATGTTGAAAATTCAACAACGAGAAGGCAAATATTGTTCCTGAAAAGCGATCAAATTCAACAGTTTTGGGGCAGGTTTCGTGGCAGGTGCATCGCTTTGGCACAATCAGGCGCACACTGCGTGACAGGCGCAGCGCAATGGCAATGCTGGCGCGGACGCGTTGCAGATCACACACACAGGTTTAGTGGCAGCACTTTCACAAGGTCAAGTACAAATTTTGCGGCAGGCGCAGCGCTTTCGCAAGGCATGCCTCAGAGCTTTCACAAGGTCAGGTACAGATTTTGTGGCAAGCGCATCACTTTTGCAGATGCAGGCTTCATGCTTTCACTGGGTCTCCGGGAGCAACTGATAGATAGAGATGTGTTGACAGATGAAAAATGGCTCATCCAAGAAAGATAGATCGATAGATAAATACATATGGATAGGTGGATAGAGAGCCACCAGAAAAAGTGGATCGAAAGAGAGAAAATCCATAAGGAAAACTACATACATAGATAGACGGACAGATAGACAGATAAATGCAAACATAGATAGATGGATGGACAAATAGCAGTGAAGATAAATGGATCGATGGAACAGATAGATACAAAGGAACACTATATAGAAGAATACGCAGACAGGCGAATACATAGACAAAGGTAACAGAAAGATAGATAGGTAGACAGATAGATAGGTAGGTAGATAGGTATAGGCCTTGATTCATAGGTAAATATGTCTAATAAACAGACAAATAAACAGACAGACAGACAGACGGATAGATCGATCGAAACAAAAATAGACCGAGAGAGATAGGTAGATAGAAAGATAGATAGATTGACTCTAAATAGATTAGATAGATAGATAGATAGATAGATAGATAGATAGATAGATAGATAGATAGATAGATAGACATATAGATTAGGTAGGTAGATAGGTAGATAGATAGATACATAGATAGATGGATAGATAGATAGATAGATAGATAAATTAGATAGATTAGATAGATAGATAGATAGATAGATAGATAGATAGATAGATAGATAGATAGATAGATAGATAGATAGATAGATATATAGATAGATAGATAGATATATACATAGATAGATAGATAGATAGATAGATAGATAGATAAATAGATTAGGTTAGATTAGATTAGATTAGATTAGATTAGATTAGATAGATGGATAGATAGATAGATAGATAGATAGATAGATAGATAAATGGATGGATGGATGGATAGATAGATTAGATACGATAGAAAGATTGACTAGATAGATAGATACGCATACATATTGGCATGGATAGATAGGTAGATAGATAGATAGATAGATAGACAGGTGGAGATGATGATAGATGGATGGACAAATATAGATAGATGGATAGATATAATATGGAAAAATAGATCCACGAAAAGATAATAAGTGCTTTCTCGACAGACAGGCAGTCAGGAAAGAACGAGAAAAAGAGAGAGAGAGAGAGAGATCGAAAGAAAGAAAGACAGAAAGAATAGCAAGAAAAGAAAGAACAGAAAGAACAGAAAGGCACAGCGAAAGGCAAGGATAAAGAGCGAGAAAGAGAAGCAGAAAGAGAAAAATAAAGGGACAGAGGATTAACAAGAGACACATACAGAGAGATAAACAAAAACAAACACCAGAAAGGGAAAGAGAAAGAGAAGCCGAGAAGCACACGAAAGGAACATATAACTCTAGTTATTACATGATCGAAAGTTCTGCCAGCCGGCTTCGCTGGTTCTAGTGGTAATTCCATATCTTGCCAACTTAGCTTGAAGTGCAAAGACTCCTTGTGACAACTACAATCCTATTGAAAAGAGCGTCGTAGCACCAAGCCATGTTTTTGAGAGACACGTTCATTAAATGTTGCTACCAGTACCTGAAAGCATGCATGTAGAGGCAGCTCTGAAAGCCATCATTGTGGAACCTGCCGACTGGGGGACATTGAAAGCATTCGAAGCCGCGAAACCGGGAAACGTGTGCAACCACTTGGGTGTTACCACTTGTTCGTTTGATGTACAGTAAAAAAAAACGAAAACAACCGAGCAATGGCCCTCGGCATTCACAGCACTCTGCCAGAAAACAAAACAAAATCGAGATTTCACTGCTTGCGTGGCAGGATGCGCCTTTTGAAGATCGCACTGGGCTGATAGAACACTTCTCCAGGGTGTGTGTGGGCACGACTTATTGTCCCCGGTCCGTGCCCCGCCTTCCTGCGTGCCTTTTTGAGGAGTAGAAGAAAGCTGCAGCCAAGGGCACATGAAAATGAAGTTCAGGGACACGAAGAAGCCAGCGGTGTAGTCCAAATAAAGAGGCAAAGGATTATGTTCTAAAATGCCGCTCTTGGATTGGTTCGCCTCTGCCTGGCGCATGGGCTTCCAAGATCACCAATATTTAAAATACAATATGCGTGCAGCATGCAAGCGAACCAAGCACAACCTGCAAACGTCTGTTGGGACACACATGGCAACGCTAAGGCTTTGAAAGGGTTCATTGGCGGCGCTGATGAAGCACCTCTCCATGCCATGCTGCTGATTCGACATCCACTGAAGAAAGGTACTGCGCAAAAGCCCTCTTTTGCATTTCAGTACGAAGGCGTGCCCATCCGGAAGTGCCATGTCTGGAGTTGAATAACTGCGACCTTGGTTTCCATCATGTAGCTTGGGGGGGGAGGGCTGGATCTAAAAAGTGCTGTGGCTAGTGCAGTTGCGTAATATGTTGATCTGCCCCTCCAGGCGGACAAGCAAATGGAAGTTTTTAGCCTTCGGCTGGACCTCCACAACCTCCCCAACAAAAACACCAAGGCGCTGCCAGACACGTTTGGGATTTGCCAAGGGGGGACCGCGAATCCTAATCCGGAATCCCGAGTTGCACGCGACGGCAACCAGGTGGAAACCACTACCAAGATTACATGGCCCAAACACCTGGCGCGATCTCCGCTGCTTCCCAGTATGTATCTGTGACCTCTTAGCATCTTGGCGGTGAGGAAGTGTCCTTGGCACCTATCCTTTTTGCACCTCCGGTTCACCGCTCAGTTCTCTGAGCATCTCCAAGTCGAACCGCGTTGTTGCGGTTCCTCACAACAACATGTAGCGAATGCCTCAAAATGAGGCCTGTGGCAAAAAGGAGCTCCTATGATTTGGAGCCATATGCAACGTGAAGGCAAACAACATGGAAAACGCCGGGCACAAGACGTTCCAAATCTGCCTCTTTTTCAGAAATTGCCGCATCTGGTCCTGCGCTTGGGACTTTCGGCCAGCTTGGGTTGAGAGCTGACTTAAGGACGGTCGTGTTCTGACGTCTCCTTTGCGAGACCCCTGCATCACGTTGTAGCCACTGAAGCCTTCCCAGAAGGCGTCGTGCGCTGCGTCGATGATCATGGCACCGTGACCAGGCTTGTGCCGGGATCTCTTCGTGCCACTCTGCGCATGCAGCTTGCCACTCTTCCAAGCCACCAGGTTGATAGAGCCGCAACGCCCTGCAAGATTGTGCGCGAGGCCGGTCACAGCCTCCCGTGCTGGCCACTGATTGCCCACCGCAGCATCCACCCAGGCCACCATCACCAGATTGCAAAAGGCCCCGTTGTTGGTAGACCTTGCGGCACAACTTGTTGACCTGTCTGAGCTGACCGCTAGGCTCTTGAACTGCCCCAACAAGAGCTTTGCGCTGCGACGACCAGGCTCCTTTGTCTCGCCACCTGCGTCAGCTCCGTGCAGTACTCCGGGCGGTCCCTGCGGAAGACTACGTCTGCATGAGGTTCACACCGCAATGCGCAAGAGGCATCCCCTCCCTTGCACTCCGCAACAAGGCCTTTTCAAAGATCTTGATCACAGCCTTCTATTGGGATCGTGGTGTCGCCCATGATGGGGAGGGGACCCAACGGCTCTTGCCGTGACTCCACCCACTTGCAGCACCCAATGCAAGGTTCCCATGTGGCAGTCTTGTTCCACAACCGCCGCCGCAACATCCAGGAACCACTCACGTGGTGCAGAAGCCAAGCCGTAGGCAGCCTTCAGCAAGCAAACTGCTTGTCCCCGCGCTATTTGAAGTGTTCCGGAAAGTTCACCAACAGGCACCGCGAAGATGTCCCTCTTTGTCTGGGACTGGGTTTGCAAGAAAGCCAATTTTGCATCGGCTTTCACACACCGCCACTTGTTGAAGGATGCGAGGTTCAGCATCAGCTGGCGTCCGCAACGTGAGAGCGTCGGTGCACTGGTCACGAGGTCGCCTTGTTCTGCTAGGGGAAGAGCTGCGCGTTTTTGCTTGCTTCCTCACTGCCGGCAGTGTCGAGCGGCATGTAGTCCGGATCCAGAAGCCGATCGATCAATGATCGAGCGCGCTCTGCCTTTCTCTCAACCCGTGCCCGGCTCCGACTTCTCCCAAAAAGTTCACCTCAGGTCACATCAGGAGGAGGTTGCTTGGTGAGGTCGTCATGCTGCCCTCTGTCCAACATTGCCGACAGTATGTGGGTGGCCTCCGCGACCTACCTTTCCCAATCACTGCCATGCTTCAGCCAACACACCGATAAGCTCGGCCTTCGGATCTCCTCGACCTGCCGATGCAAGGATGCCGGGCCAAACCAACGGCCAACCCTGAGCCTCGTAGTGTCCACCTCCAAATGGGCAGGACTATCTCTTGGCGTCTTGAACTTGCAGGCAAGAACTGCTTCACATCTCCGGCCAGCGTCCTGCTGCTGCTTGAAGAAGGTTTTTGCCTCTTCCGAAAGCGCAGCTGCTGCTCCAGCAGGCGCTCTGCATGGCGTAGGCAGCCTCTTGACGGGTGCAGTTCTTGGCTTCCCGCGTAGAGCTGCATCTTCCGGCGAAGGTCTCCAACCCCTTCCACGTCGCCAGTTGAAAACGTGGATCAGCTCAATCCCGCGGTCGTAGCGGTCTTCCCATGGTCGACCTCTGTTCCGGGTCGCACTTGATCCTCGCAGCCTCGTCCAAGAAGAGCGTCTTGCCGACCCGCATGTAGAACGTGTCCGTCTGAACACAGTACTGCAGAGAATCTCTTCCTTCTCAAGGTTGACCTTGGGGCTCGGCTTCTTCATCTCGCCTTCCTTTGACATCTGATCTGGTTGGCAATGGCAATCACCTTCTCATCTGCCCCTGGAGCTTACAAACCTCAACCCACCACTCCGCCGGTGGAGTACGGGTACGTATTCCGCGATCTTCATGGTCTCCTGGCCTGTGAGCGTTAGAAGGAGCTTCTGTCAACCTCATCAACCACCATGATCGGTTAATTCTGGCACATTATGGCTGGACACACGCCTGGCAGTGCTCTGGTGTGTATCTTCCAGTGCTGGTGAGGAGCCCGCACCTAAACAGGGTGAGTGTTGATGTAAACCGTCGCGTGTTCTGCCAACCACGTTTGACGGCTTGTCGTTGGTGACGAGTCCTCAAGCGTCCCAGCTGCTCCAGAGACCCCGCGCGCCGCAAAGCTCTCTTCCATGTTCTGGTACATTTGCTCCGGTGCTCGGCTTGGAAGTACTCGTCGATCAGGACGTAGTTTTGTCCCTCTCTTCGCGGGCTAAATCTTCTGAGCTCGTGTCTTGTCCTCCTGGGCTGGGATGCGAGCTAGTCTGTCCAGGAGGCTCTTCTCGGCACCGTCCAGGGCGATGGTTCGATCCTGTAGGGCTGGATGGCCTTCTCCTCCGCCACTTGCTTCCTCATGTCTCCCGGAAGAGCTCCTGCTTCGCGATAGGAGTAAAGAAGCTCAACATCAGCCAACCCAGAAGCTCATCCGGTCGAGCAGGAGGCAGCGCCGTCTTTCCGCGCTTTGTCTTTGGATTTCTCTGCCGCCGACTCCAGAGGAGATACCTCTCCAAAGTTGGCAAGCTCCCTCAAGAAGTCCACCTGCTCCGCAAGCCGCTCGACCAGGCAAGCTCCCGCTCGTTTTTAGGCAGACCTGCGTCTCGGGCACGTTTGGGTGAAGCTGGCGATGTGCCTTTCGACTCAGGAGCACCACCATGCTCATGCCTGAGGCGCACCAGCAACTCCCCCGCTCTGAGTCCCCATTCAGCTGCAGCAGCTTGAAGTGGTCCAACTCCTGAGCTTATCCATGCCCGTCCACTCAGCTGAGCAGCCAGTTCAGGCCAAGGTGTCGCCTGCAGGCCAGGCGCACTCTTCTCACATAGTCCTGCCCATGCAGGTAGAATCTCCATCCCACTTGACACGCACCACGTCTCGTCGTGTGTCGCTCATCTCCACGGTATAGACCTTCACCGTGAAGTGCCTCTTCCAAAGCCCCAGGAGCTGGCAGCTCCGCAAACAGTGTCACTAGCAAGATGCCAATCCTTTTTCACATATGGTTCACCGCTCAGTTCTCTCAGCGTCTCCAGGTCGAAACGGGTTGCGGTTCCTCACAACGACATGTAGCGAATGCGTCAAAATGAAAAATAGGGAAAAAGGAGGTACTATGATTTGAAACGTGAAGGAAAACAAAATGTGATGACTTGCAAATGAATCAAGCCTCCACACGAGTGGAAAGTCTGTGGGCAGAAAACTGTAGCAACGGCCATCCATCATCATAGAAGCCCTTTTGATACTTGCCTAACATCCCTGCCGCAGAGTTGACAGTTGAAATGCCCAAAACACAAGCGATTCAAGTGAATCGAGCAAATGGCGCCAGCGAGTGCAATCACGCTTTTCACTCAGCCTTGAGCCAAATGTATTGGCAATGGAATTCTCATGCACTACACCCGAAGAGGAAGTTAAAAGGAACATAACCCCTGAAAAGTGGGTTTGTTCAACTCCCCCCTCTTACGATTTGGGCTAGTGCAGATCGGGTCGCAGCGAAGGGTGAGTTCATCCCTTGCTAAAATGAGTTCATCGACTTAAAAGGGCGACCAAAAGGTAACTCTCGAATTAGTGATTTGAATTGAATTCATGATCCTGGCATGTGGCACACTTCCAAGTTGGTAGCTAGCGTGCATAAGCATCAACCAGCGTATCAAGAAATTGAGACACAATGCCACGACGATGCACGGCACTCAAGCGGGAACGACAGCTCACCGTCAAATGCTGCACGGATGTATTGAGGCGAAGGTATTCAAAGCCTAGTGGTACACTTTGCATCCGAACCTGGCGACAAAAGGGTGGCTAGCAACGACCTAATGAAAGCCAAGCATTTCATTGCAATTCACCTTTCGTGAAATTTAATTGCGTCCACTCTACAGCCCGAGGCGCTCGAAGCAGCCAAACAAGGCGTGGGCCAGTGAGATGTTCATTCGTGCTTTGACTGCGGAACATCCCCAACATGGATCAAGTCGAGGGCAGCGCCCCACTTCTGAGGGCCGAGTGCCTTCGTCAAGATGTCTCCCTTCTGCTCAGTTGTCACGATGTAATCTAGTTTGTAATTGGGA